AATAAATACACATACACACAAACACATTTACATAAATGTCACTTTACCCAGAGTGAATACACTACTGTCAATTTGTTTGAAATGATTAGGGTCATAATTAACGCTAATTTGTGAAATTTTTTTATCTGAATCAGGCCTTAATCAGTATTTAAAACAGTACAATTTTGTACAGTACAGTACAGTATGATACGATACAGTGCCTCCATTAATTTAGACAAATCTACATCGCCGAACTCATGACCTTTAAGCCACCAAGATAAAGAATGGCACATTTTAAATAATTAAGCTGCTCCATATTCTTGAAAATTTATTTAAATGTGAATTAAAAACTTAATGGGTAGAGTGTGTTGATGTTTTCAATACTGTAGTATTTATTATTACTGTACACAACTGCACTGTAACCTGGCTGGGTTGGGTATCCTTTATCTAAATGCTTGCGATTTAAGAGTCTCGGTTGGGATATATTTGGAACTAACGATATTATGCAAGGAAAGACTTATATAATAGGGGTAGCTCACCTTGAGGGATAGAGGCCCAAGTCTATGCACAAAATTCATTTATATTTTCATTTACAGCATATGGATATATATATTCTACAGAGTAGTTTGCGATATGAACTAATATAATGAGCGTCGATATAACTTGAGATACGTTCAAGAGATGCTTTAAACCCGAATTAGCACTAAATAATTTAGTTTGGTACTTGAGAAACACAAAATACTAAAAATGCGAAAGTTTACCCCAGATGCGGTACATCTCTAGCACAAACAAAACATTGTTTTGTAGTATGAATAATCTGTACTCACCCTAAAGATGTGAATTTCGAAAGTGCTTGAAACCGTGTTTTATATATATATTAATTACTGGGTTCATCTGATTGCATGCTGAACCAGTTGTTAACATATAAAAAATTTTACTGAATAAATACTGGTATCTATCTACTGTATGATCTTCACAGAGAATTCATTTATCATTCTAAATTATGTCTACTGCTTCCCATTATAGAATATTAACTGAATAATCAATTATTATTTAATGAAAAAGTCAACATTAAATAAAGAAATTGCAAAAAATGTCAGGAAATATCATGAAATAATTGATAATTATGATAACTACTATACTGTATATCAATATTTAACAAAAGGAATTAATAATAATAATACTGTATTGAATAAAGAATATCAACAGTCAATCAAAATCTCCATGGCAGCGAGGCTCTTCTGAGGATTTACCACATGTGTAGGACACTTAAGGTAAGATAGTGCAGGTCAGTTAAGGTAAGATAGTGCAGGTCAGTTAAGGTAAGATAGTGCAGGTCAGTTAAGGTAAGATATGCAGGACAAACAGGAGAATCGACCCAGAGGAATCACGAGTTCAGTATTGCTGGATATGACTCATTTCTGAACCTTTCTCAAGAAATTTGCAAGAGGTGTGGTTATCTATGCTAAACATGACAACATAGTTCTGTTATTGTTTCATGAGTCTAAAATGAACCACCGGGATATATCATCATTTATATTAATTAATGGGTAAAATTTTACTATAACTACCATAAATATTTTGATGTTTAGATTAGAGATAGGCTATATAGGGTAAATTTAAGTTTTGTTATCCCTGTACCTAGGCTTGCAGACTACTGTAGGTTTTCTCCGATGGTTTGAGATATGTTATAGACGTTTTAGACTTTATTTCTATAGGAAATCACTAGTTTGTTACCCCTCCGTTATCGTTAACCAACCTTGTAACTCATCATACCCAACCTAAGCCTAGCCTTCCTAACAAACCCCCCTCTTACCAGTGTCGTTAAGCGCTTATAACTCATCATACCTAGCCTAGCCTAACCTAGCCCTAGCCTAACCTAGCCTAGCCTAACCTAACTCATACCATGCATTAAGCCAACCTTATAACTCATCATACCTAACCTAGCCTAGCTAGCTAACCTAACCCCTCTTCCGATGTGCGTTAAACACATACTAACTCATCATACCCTAACCTAGCCTAAGCTATAACTTCTACCTTACCCCCCTCTTACCGATGTACGCTAAGCTAACCTTATAACTCATCATACCCTACCTAAGCCTAGCCCTAACAACCTAACCCCCCTACCGATGTATTTAAGCTAACTTTTATAACTCATCACCCTAGCTAACCTAACCTACCTAACCTAACTGCTTAGCCTAGCCTATTCTTCCCCCCTCTTACCGAGTATGTTAAGCTACCTTATAACTCATCATACCTAGCCTAGCTAACTAGCCCTAGCCTAGCTAACCCCCCCTCTTACAGTGTATGTTAAGCTAACCTTATAACTCATCATACCCTAACCTATGATTTGTGTGTTCAAAAAGCGAATAGAAAAATGCTTTGCAACAGAAATCCTGTATGGATAATGTGCTCATTGTTTAAAGTACTTAATCCCACAGTTAGAATCTTAAGGTTCCCCAGGTGACCAAAAAACCAAATACCAATATTGTTTGGAATGTTTATACTAAGAAATTTGTTGTATGGGCAGCTAATATCCATTGAATTAGTTAATGTGCCTAGTAATATTTATATATTCAAAATAGTATTACTGTGTTGCACATTAAAGCACAATAAAATAGATAATTTTGTACTATAGGGCAGTCATTCCCCCTGACTGTTCTATGGTTTTATCTCATCATTTTCAACTTTTCCTAGTACCATTTACATCAGAAATGGTTTGAAAAAACTAAAATGCCCCCACCCCTGCAGGGCCCAAATCATGATTCACACTATCCCCAGCCTGTCATCAGATAATCTCACACCCATCCCTTGGCCATGGTCGTCCCTAGTCCTTCTACAACATTAAATATAGACATGAGTGACGAAAACTTACAAGATGGAGTTATTGGCCTTTTGCATCATTTTAGCACCCAGTCAGCAAATACACATGTTGAGACTGGTGAGGATTTGTCGGTACTCTTGGACAATAGCACAAAGCACCAACGACACTTTGTTCTTTGCTTGAACATTGTATAAGGCCCAAAATCCTGTATTTATGATGGTAACAACACAAACCTCCACAGCCGTCTGCTTCGCCCTCTGCGGCTCACACCAACCAATGACGTGACTTTTTAAGAACTTTAACCCACATTTGTTTTATTTTTTTGGCCCAGTTTATTTTAAAATATCATTACCATAGTGACTTTAAGCGTTTTCTTTACCCATTGACCTGCAATTTTACGAAAATATTCCGACCGTCAAGCACCGTTTCCCCCTCCCTGGACCCCATGGTACAACACAACTTGTTTAACATACCTGCACTCAGCAACTAATACCCACACCATAGAGTCCTAGAAGCCATTACGGCGCCACAAACAGCGAACGTAATACTCGGAGAGCCATCAAACACTGTATCAACACACCCACACGGTGCCGCCATTTGTCACTGGTGAGAGCTGATTACCGAACCCTTCAGGTGCTTCGATTCTGCAATCCATTGTTTCACCTTAATAACAGCAAATGTAATTTTTCTCGATAACATTATTTTACTTTTGCTTTTTATACTTTCTATCCTCTTCAGTCTTCACCAATTGGCTCCTTGGAAAAACTACCCTTAAAATGGTTAACGAACTCTTTTAACACCATATGTATTAACTACTGTAATTTAGTTCAGTAAATATCTACTGTATTTAAATAGCTTTATATTAACCATAATATAAACGAGTTTGCTCATGAAAATAAAGACAAGCCATCTTAATAGTAGCATTATCTGTCCGAGCCACCACATCCACAACTCCTGTACACACGGCGGAGAGCCACACTACCGCCTCCTCCCCCCTGGACCCCACAGTACAACAACACATCTTGTTATCACCTTACCTTCACTCAACTGCTAATAACCACAACGTAGAGTCCTGGAAGTCCTCACGACGCCACAAACACGAGGTGATCCACAAACAGCGAACGTAAAATCCAGGAAACAGCGATCAAATACTGTATGACCACACACACACATGTTGCCTCCACCACTGCCGGACCTCTAATGATCACTGGCGTGAGGCGAACCCGAGGTGCTTCGATTCCTTAATTCATTGGTTCGCTTTACTGATTCACATGAAAATAATTGACTGGACGGCTGAAAGAACACCATTAGCTAAAATAAAACTGATAATTATTAACGAAAATTAGTCTTGAGTTTCGAAGCAGCTTCGTCAACGACCAGCTCTTACGTCACTAAACTAGTCCACAACCAAACAAGCAGTTGGCTTCCACGGTTAGCATAAGCGTAATACTTCCATTACTATTATTATTATTATTATTATTATAATTATTATTATAAATATTATTATTATTATTATTATTATTAATATTATTATTATTATTATTTGAGGTTTTAGGCCGTGAGACGTGAGTTTATGTTCGACTGATGACTCGCTCTTTGCTCATGAAGAATATCAAAATCATCAAATATTAATTTATTTTTCTTTCTAGGGTGTGTAGATGGGAGGTAGGGTGTGTAGATGGGAGGTAGGGTGTGTGGATGGGAGGAGGGGGTGGGTGGGAGGTAGGGTGTGTGGATGGGAGGAGGGGGTGGGTGGGAGGAAGGGTGGGTGGATGGTGGGAAGGGTTTGTTATTTCTTTTAGATTGTTTGGCTCTCTGAGGCTGGCTTGAGGTTAACGGCTGACTAGCTGAAGTGAACGGCTGGCTGGCTTAGGTGAATGGCTAGCTGGCTGAGGTGAATGGCTGGCTGGGCTGAGGCAAATATCTGGCTGGATCGGAGGGAAATAAAATTCCAATACTTGTTTGTCTCCTTAACCCTTTCACAGCGGGAGGTTACCCTAAGCTGAATAAAATCGTCTGGCGGTAGCCAGAATAAAATGGCAAGTGCGTGACACGCGGTGAAAGGGTTAATGTGCATTATGATTTTAGAGTACAAACTCGCCATACATACATATATAAGCTCACAAATTTATATACATTTTTCTTTAGATAATCTCTTAATTTCCTATTAAGTTAAAGGTCAAATCAAACCAGACTGTGGAAGACGGTGATGTTTTATTCCAACAAGTATAAAGCAATGACAGAGCTAGTTATAAAGCAGGAGAATAACAGACGATTCCAGGATGTTGGTAAAGGCTATGTACAAAGATACACTCGTGTGATGAGGATGGTATATGAGCTGACACCCACTGCCTGCAGCGATACTCTCGTGACACGTACAGGGGGATGAGGGGTGAGTGATGCTTCCTGAAAACACAAACACCTAAAAAGGTAATAAATTTCCCTACAGAGGACTGAGAGGTGCTCAAGCCTACTGAGTGAGAGGCTTCACTGGTCTTCTCTATAATACAGGTAATGCTGGTATTGAGCAAAGACTCGTTATTTGAATCTGTAGGTGAGCAAAAGGTAACAGTAACCACCACTCCTTATTATGTCAAATTAGATTTGCAATAATACTTTAACAAATATAATTGGCATGAAAATTAAAATAACCATTTAATGATCTGTAAATGGATGCTGAAAGGGATCACGAGGAACTTAAAATAATGGGGCCTTTGAAAGATTTCCTTCATTCTACAGGTAGGCTGGTCATTCACATTTTCCTTTCAGCAAACATCACCATTATTTAATGAAGATAGCATCATTCTGACAGAATTAAGTTGCACATTAATAAAAACAAAAATTCTCCGAGCACTGGACGAGGTTACTATTATCTCCCCCATATCCCGAGAATTGTCTCCTTCCCACACTGCACAGTCTGCACTTAATATAAGGGGGATCTATTCGCTTGGAATCTACTGTGGAGACAAACTGGTTTACATTTGTTTAATCAACAAATTCTGGAGAATAAATGTTATATGACTTGGCTCACTGGAGATGGCACTATGCACAGTACAGGAGTGACTACAGTGGGCCTCTAACATGCCTATGCCACAATCAAACTTCATTGAGAAAAAAATCATATTGGATAACTAACCTTCAAAATTATTCAATAAAACTACAATCTATATTTATCATTCATGTGATATGTTCATTTATTCGTTTCTTTACCATTTGAGAACATTTTCTTGTATTCCCTACTCCAAGAACTGTGCTTTAATGCCACCCCAGGTGCAGCAGGCAGACGGGAGAAGCTGTATCAGGTATGTACACAACTGTGGGTAATGAGTACATCTTATTTACAAAAGTTTACACTGAACAGGTCTGTACTGTAACCTGTTGCCATGTTGAACTTATCAATGGAGCCTTGAACATTACATCTCTGAGATCATGATACAAATCAGTAACAATATTTACAACCAGCGATGATATACAAATGCATACTAAAATATTTTGCATATCTATAGCTTGCTCATCCTAAATCTTCTTTTCTTCAGCTTTGGCATACTGCTGCTCTTCAAATGAGCGTGCATTCAGAATCCTCAGAGCATATTTACTGCAACATATCTATCTCACAGAGACAGAGCAGAAGTCTACAAGATGCTTGTGGTTGTTTGCTGACATTCCAGCCGAGTGTGTAGATCTCAACATACATACTACTGCATATATTGTATTTGCAATACTGAAGATGGAAGAAGTGATCTATACAATACTTAAAAGGCCATGAAAGTTTACCAGCCTGTTAAAATGCTCCTTTCACACATCTCAAGCAACAACACACAGAGGAGGGAAAGTACCACTTGGAGAACTGGACGATCAGACAAGAGTAATGTTCGCTTCCACATTTCAAAACTTTAAGTTTCATGTGTACAGTCAACGAAATCACAGAGAATCAGGTGTGTTTTATCTCCAATACCTGTTAAAGTCACGATGCAGAAATGTACAGCATAAGAACGAAACAGAATAATATTTTCTCTTTCCATGATTGTGACTAAAAATGGAGCTGCTGAAATCTGTGAAACACCAAACACAAATTCCCTAAAATGAAGAAGAACGTTTTGAGTCATACCCAAAGCTTTAGTGTTCATTTGAGGGGTGTTTTTTGCAGAAATAGGACAAGTTTTTATGAGGTTCTAAGCTAGAGATTTGCCCATCTAGCAAGCACCCATTAAAAAGGCAATTCATTTGTACACAACACTCCACAGATGGACTCTAACATTGAGAGATTTGTCACATTTTCCAATTCTATCAGCACACAAATGAATTTTATCACTGAAAGTTCTAGGAGCAATGATAATTTGAAATAATGGTGAGGAGTGAGCAAAATACAAATAATATTATTCAAAGTATAAAAATTTCAAGTTGTCTTGCATATATCTGCCCTTCCTCAAGGATAAGAAAGTTCATTCCAAGCACTGTTCAAATTCATCCTTTTGGACCCAAGCTACACTGTCATAGCTTTCTAAGTCTTCCTGAAAAAATGTATAAAACACTGATGAAGTATATTCTAAAAAGGATAAAAAATACTTACAACAACTGGTAACAAGGTGATTGTCCAAACTAATAACAACACCATTATGAAAGATGCTTAATGATCTCCCTCTCAGAATTGAAAATCATGGACACAAAATCTAAACAAATTGTATCCACTAAGAAACTATGGATTTCTACAGTCGTTGGTTATCACAACAAGTTGCCACCTAAACTGGACCAAGGAAGCTAACAAACTCATTCTGTTACACATGTGACCAAGAGGTCAATATACACGTGATGGTCATTTTGTCAAATAACTGTTTATCCCAGTCATGAGGCCAACAATCAACTTTTCATACAAATTATGGATAGGAAAGGAACAGAAGAATTTTACAAAAATAGCAAGTAGAATAGGTGAGATATTTTCACATTTTTTCTTTATCCTAGCAATAGAAATCTATCATTCTCTAATACTTCACTTAATATAATTTTAAGAAAGAGGTTTCCACCCAAGTTGGACATTCACTGAAGTGAGAATGGCTTAAAAGTTGAGTCTGTGTAGGTGAGTGAGGCCATGCAGGTCCATGGTGCCTCCTTGGCACAGATGCTGGTGTGGTCAGTCCAACACCAATGAATGACACATGCTGGCCCAAGGACTAACACATAATATCACTCAGAGCATCAGTATCACAGCAACACGTGGGCTTCAACAACGCACGTCAATGTACACTACTACGAGTGTGCACACGTTAAGCATGTACACTACTATGAGTGAGCACATGTTAAGCATGTACACTACTACAAATGTGCACATAATAGACATGCACATTACAAGTGTGCACACACATTAAGCATGTACACTACTACAAGTGTGCACACATTAAGTATGTACACTACTATGAGTGTGTACACTTTAAGCATGTACACTACTAAGAATGTGCACATGTTAAGCATGTACACAGTGGAATCTCAGTTATTGGATTTTCTGAGAACATTTAACAGCATACCCCATTCATCACAGTTCTGCATTGTGTTAAACACATACTAAAACAATTTCTTTATAAAAAACATGGGTGGTAAAAAATTTCTCCTAATCATTAGCATATATGACTAAACTGTTATTGTCCAAACAACCAAGAAACCACTGAACGAACCACACTATAATCAATATGTATGGCATACATATACACAGTGACTGATAAAACATGGTAAACTATAGTATGTGATATATATGCTCTAACTGGTACAAGATGAACTGGAAGGAGCTTCAGAAACCCAGCAACATGTAAACCTCTTGCTACTAAAGTTGCTGATGGCCTGCAAATGTAGTGACTATAACACATTAGGCAGTCATCATTTCTTGCCATACAGGACTGAACGTGGAAGAGACAGAATAGTAATAATAAGAGAGGGGCTACACAGCATTTACAAATATAACAACAATGCAAATGTTGAGTCTTCAGTGTGATTAAAGACCTTTTAGTGTTTCTGACTAATATACAGTACTCTTGTAGGAGAAGGTGAAGATAATGTCCATTATCACCTGGAGGGAGCAGAGATACAAGGAGAGATAGAGACAGCGGTAAGAATATTGTATGGCCAAGACACAGTAGTCCTCAGTTGCTTGGGTTACTTCTTCACATGGAGCGATGGACTTGTCCTGCTACGCCGTACCCCCAATCAAGGCCGGTGGAACCTGCCAAGGAGGAATTTTTTTTTATAATACACATACTGATACATATCTGCACAGTTGTGGGACTAGTGAGGTTTCATGTGTCAACGAGAGGGGGAAAGGATGTGAGGCAGGTAAGGTGTGGTAGAGGTGAGCACAGTCAAGCATGTGCTTATGTTTGATGAAGCTAATTACCATTATATATTCCTTTTGTACATTTGAATACCTTTTTAACAACATTAATATTATTTCAAATATAGTAAGGAATGAAAATATCTCACAGGCATAAGAATATATTTTGACTTATCTATACTTCATTAACGGTGAATAGAAAGTACACAACCTACCGAGTAAGATGCTTGGATTCTTCATGAACCTCCATCTCCATGCTCTTGAAGTCGTTAAGTTCCTTCCTTATGGCTGCCTTATCCCTGGGTGTTAGACGTGTCCATGGCTTGTCTGCCCGACGATCATACTCGTGTGCCTGAGTTACCTCAATGTAGTCGTTGAAGCGTATGATCTGTAAAAGATATGTGATGCGGGGTTCAAAACAGAATAAAACTCTCCTAAGATGAAAGTATCAACGTCTTGTTAGTCTAAGTACCACTGTGTGTCAGGTGTCAGTGTGGCCTCTGTAATACCCAGGGGTGGCCGAGATATACACGAGAAGAGGTTAGAAAAAAGGACATCAGAGTTAAGAATGTGAATGATAGAGGCTGCATGGAGAGCTGCCATCAGGTAACCACGGCCAACAAAAGCAAGCGTGAAAAATGGCTGCAAAACACCGAAGATGATGTCGATGATCTATAATAAACTAAAAATAAATAAAAAGGAAAAGAAAGCCATAGAGTGATCATAACTATGTCTACCTATAGCTGCTGCATGGAGTAACAGCCTAGATGACCAAGTGATTACACCGTAAAGTTGTGAAGGTCCAGCGTGTCCTTGGAATCTAGGCAAGGTAGTGCTGGTCAGGAGCTGTGCAAAAGGCCAGTTGATTGGGGGCAGAAATGGCAATGGAAATTTCAGTTACTATAAGAACAAACCATATGCAGTGAGTCATTGATATATATTGTCCAGTGCTGACGATTGAGTGGCCAGTTAAAGAAAAATAGAAATAGAGAGAGAGAGAGAGAGAGAGGCACTGCATGTAAATATTATCATTTTTTTCCTCAGAGACCCACACACAAAACTAATAATAACTGACACACATACATCGGGAATGTACCAAGAGGAAATCCCTATACCAGCAACAAAACCAACACTCTACTAAGGCATCTGACTACTAGAGAAACATATATCTACTAAAATCTTCCAGAAATGTGTTAAAAGACTGTACGACACATTTTTTTATAACTTTACCATCAATAACGTACACAAGGAATAGTTTCCTTTGTTGCTATCCGTCTTAACATCCATATATGTGAGTTGATATTTCTCTTTGTCTCTTGGTATGTTAAGGTGAGAGTTGGCAACAGTCACTGGTACTCCTGCCAGACCTAGCTAGTGTTGCCACAATCCATTCATTATTACTTACTATCATTTGTGTTATTACTTTATATATGGCCATCCATTTCCATGGCAATTATTAAGCAGTGTTCTTAATTTTACACATTAAACACAATTTTTAACTACAGTATAAGTGTTTCGATCATATAAAATACAGGTGTATGTGACACTTGGCACGTCTATACAGTACACAAATCACTTATGTAATTCGCACACAGAAAAGATTTAAATGATTTTCTTTACAGTATTTCTCTTTGTCTTATTTGAAAAATCCTGTGTACTAAATATCCCAGATGTTCTCAAACTGTTCATTCTAGAACATACTGAAATGGATTAAGGTTAAACCTTGGAAGCATGTGGCAACACTTGTCAGTCACAGAAAGAAGGAGGGTGGGCAGCCAGCCAACGGGTGAAGACCACCACCTTATTATAGACCTTGGGTAGTGTGTCTTTATCCTTAACAACTGCGTAATAAGAGATTCCCGTGCATTTCCTGTGCTCTCATTTACCACTGATAAACTATGTTAAAAAAATTATTTTACTCAAACAAACACCTGTTAAGTGTTAAGAGAAACAGGGATAAGCAGCTGTAACATGACCCTGGTGAGATATGAGTGTGGAAAGCTTGCCAGTGTTTATGTTGACAAACACTCAACAAATTCTTCACCTCTGATATCATCTTCATTTTTCTGGGAATTTTATTACCCGGTACAACAAATTCTCAAATATGTGAGTAATACTGCATAAGACATAATTCAGCTTCCATTTGTTTTTACAAATACTATACAAAGTTCTCTATTATTCATTATCTAAACTATTGTATATATGTAAAAAATTCACACCAACAAAATTTTCATCCCTTCATCATTACATAAGAAAATTCTATAGCTTTACTCTCCATTCACTCACATATAAATAGCAAAAGGTGACTGGCTCCCACATGATAGACCAATGTGGTTGCCACCCTCGACACCCCATAATACTAAACACGGGGCAGCTGTCTCTAGTGCAGATGGCGCCCGTAGATAATAAGGGCACTCAATGTAAACTATAATCACCTGTATGGTGCTGCAGTTCCGTCCATAAACAATGAATAAAACTGATTATAATGATGATCACTTCAACTAAATCATTTCATTGGTATACTGTATAGACATTTATACAGGACATATATTCTAAGTGACGAAAATATACTAATTTCTTCTAAAATATTAAAAATGGATTAGATGGCAACACAGATGTACCCCTACTGAGTATGTGACTTGAAATTGCTCCTGGAGAGATGACTTTATATCCAGTATACATTATGTACAATGGTGGCTGGTGCTCTCACAGGTAGCCCTGGATTTTCACTAATATGACTGTTATTTATGAGACAATAAACAAAAAAGAGAGATAGAGATGAAGATAAACAGAGAGAAAGAGAGAGATAGGGGTAAGGATAGATGCAGAGAAAGAGAGATAGAGATAAGAATAGACAGAGAAAGAAAGATAGGGGTAAGGGTAGACACAGAGAAAGAGAGATAGAGGTAAGAATAGACAGAGAAAGAGAGATAGGGGTAAGGATAGATGCAGAGAAAGAGAGATAGAGATAAGAATAGACAGAGAAAGAAAGATAGGGGTAAGGATAGACACAGAGAAAGAGAGATAGAGATAATAATAGACAGAGAAAGAGAGATAGAGGTAAGGGTAGACACAGAGAAAGAGAGATAAAGATAGGATAGACAGAGAAAGAGAGACCTAGAGATAAGGATAGACAGAGAGAAAGAGAGAGAGACTTATGAATACAACACCCAAAACTTTACTAAAAAAAAACACATAAAACACTAATATATCATAAATTAGGGTATACAGTACTGTACAGTATTAGTGATAACAGAAGAGTACTGTAGTCCTAAAGTCCCAGCAGCTGACACCTATTAATAATTACTTAAATACAGTATTTATTTCCCAACAATAATGATTACTGGTCGAGGATCCTTTCCAAAATTATGTGTGAGAGAAATTTGACTGACTCTCTAATGTATGAAGACATATGTCACACAGGTACATAATGGGCCCAAGGTAAGCCACCTGTAGAGTATATTAACCCACAACTATAACCAAGATTGAAGTGAAATACATATCAATTGCAATAAGCTGCATTAGAATAGATTAATGGAAGTCTACAGAGCAGTTGGTTGAGTCAGCCAACTGACCTGGTTGCCACCGTCTCCAGAAACTTCTGTGTTCACAACTAATCACTGCCAAGTTTTTAGTTACAATATTAGAAAACACCCAAACATAATAATGTTTACTGTATAATGGCCTACAATATAAAAGCACAACTAAACCAGTAATGAGTTAGTGCGTGAGAAACTGAGTGAGATGAAGAATAACTAAGCAAAATCATGTTTACTGTAAAAATATCTTAAGTGCAAGAAGCAGGAAGTGGTGGTGTAAGTATAAAAAAAATTGTATCGCACAGATTCTGAAAATTAAAAATATCTAAAAATCTAAATACAATTGGCCCCAAAGGTTTTCTGATAAAGGATCCTTGACCTGTAATATATATTTACCAACAATAACATTAAAGAACCAGTGGACACAAATAGCTGTGTACAGTACTCACTTTCCGTTCCCTCAGTTCTTCAAGCGTTGGTCTGAATGACAACTTCCGCAGCAGGGTTTTTCTCTTTTCCTCCTTCTGTTTTCGTGCCTCCTCTGGGGTAGTTCCTGCCAAGACCAGTGAGGTTGAAGTACTCGGTGTGACCCATAAAATGAACCTTTACTTCTATTCATCATATTGTTAATTTAATGGAAAAACCAATGTCCCATCTTCAAGTCACTATTAACCCTGTCAAGTTTTCCTCAAACCAACGTTAACAAAGAGAAGTTTACAGTAAGACAACTCTTTCATTAAAAACTAAAGTCACTGAGTAAAGTGTAATATTAACATTCAATAATCCCAACTTAAAATTTGTGGAGATTAAATATTCAACTTCAGGAAAGTAAACACATTTACTTACTCTTAAGGATATTTCTCTCCTCCAGTTCTTCAGCTGTGGGTCGTAAACTCAAACGTCTGAAAAAAAAAACATAAGTGACCAATTAATTCCTTTCTTTGCTGCCAGAAACAGTGAACTATAAGGTAGACTATGAACTGCCTGTACAGTACAATATATCATTAAGTGCCATAAAATTATTCACTGGAGTATAATAAATTTAAAAGTCAGTACTTTCTACCCTTTTACTATAATAGCTTCAAATGACAAAAGGCAGCACCTCAGTTTTAGCAAAACAATACTGTATTATAATAAAATCAAGAATACAAAAGATTACCTAGCTAAAATTTTGGCCAAAACAGCCTTTACCCAAGAATGCCGTCGCCGTTCCTTCAACCAATCCTCTTCTCGCATCGTCATCACAACTAGACCATCTTCACGAGCCATTTGGCAAAAATTCTGGGCTACCATGATCACAGCTTTGTATTATCACAGAAAAATTTGAGACCAAAATGATATGCAAAGGTATTATTTTGAAGCTCGGACCGGCCGTGCTCTTAATACACTGTTTTCAGCACAAGTCATCCGTTACACTCGGATCTCCAAACATGCGTTGAAGCACGATAGCCCATGCCTGGTTTCCAGGACTATCACATACACTTCATTAACTCACAAGCTAAAATCTTAAAGGCTTAAATTACATCTACATGAGCCAACCATTTTCGTCTGTACACTGATGATATTCCTCAAGTCATAACACACTATGAATGAACACTACTTTCTAGAACCTCTGCAAGATGTGTGGTGAGGCAAGTTGTGTGAGAGGCACCTCACTACCTGACTGTCAAGGACTGCCACCTAGTGAGCCACTGCCCCCCCCCCCCCCCTTGCACACCAGCCAATGCTCCTGTGTTTTTTTGTTTGTTTAGTAAAGTTGATCCCCAAGTATGTGGCAGTTATATAAACGTAACTTACAATAAAAATCAGTCAAAACTGTTAATAACGAGGCTATGTTGTCTCTGATAATGAAAACTAGTCTCTCATTTCTAAACACAACAGACATTACATAAATAAACTTTTATACAGTCCAGAGCATTTTACACATTGGGAGAACATGTACAGTTATTTAGCACCACCAATCATTAGAAACACCATCTGTAAACTTGGCACACACAGATATACTGAAATATATATCATGCATGTAAAATTGTGTCAATGGAGAGACCCTGACTCAGATAGCCTTGTACAGAATTTTTGTTCAGTGTACTGCATTAACTTTGTCAGACCCTTGGCTTGGCACATGATTAACCTGCCCACATTAATATAATCCAACTAATGGTGGAAATATGAAACAGATTATTCTTTTTATTATTAAAGTGAATGACTGATGACAGTATGGAAGGGCTCTGACCTCTCATCTCAAGGCAGAGTTTACTGTACAGTATATTGAAAATAAGACAACGATGGTATGTGATTCTATATTTTGACCAGGGGTGATAACTGTCAGGTCAAGGACTCACACAGAGAACCAGCAAAGAGTCAGTCACTATACTACCAAGAGTAATCACCCAGTATGTATTCAATGAGGGAAAACAAGAGTAGAGTACATACAAACATTAACACCTTGCCTATTATATAATGCTCTAGAGGCTAGTACAGGTATTCACAAATGTATGAAATTACATTGGTGGTTTCAATTCACCTGTGGCAATAATTTCTTCTCATAACCTCCACTTTGCCAGCCCTTAAAATGGTCCTGGCAGTGCACCAAAAGCCATCCTTGTCCTGGCTTATCCCTTATTGGCCCCACCTGCACCAATCTCCCCAAAGCTCATTAACTCCTGCCCCTCCCCCCACCAAAGCTCATTACTGCTCCCTCTCCCTCACTTCCTTCTTCAGCTTATTACCTTCCTCCTCCCCACACCTCCCCCCTAACCTCATTACCTCCTACTCCCCCTCAACTTACCAACTTCTCACCCTTTAGGATATACTAAGGCAATACACACATAATTAACATATAGAAAATGGGATGATTAAAGAAATTTTATCTTAAGTATAAAATATATACACTTTAAAGATAACACATATATCTACATACTGTATATATATATAAGTACAATATTTATCAGAGTGAAGAGACATTGTCAGATGTTTGCATGTGTGGGTCAGAATACTGTACAAGTACTGCAAGCAGATTTTGCGCACATGAAAGATTACAATGATCAATTAGTCAGAAGTGGCTGGGGCTGACAAGTGGTCAAAATGTTGGCAGAAGCATCAGTGCAGGCTAGTTAGAAAGTTCTCTCAGCTGGTCAGTCAGTCAGTGAGGATTACAGAAGTATCCATTGAACTGACTAACCCAACTAAAACAAAGCACATAAAACTAATAACCAGCCAGGCAGGTAATAATTCAGGTTATGGTGGACCAAGTCTGGGTTCAGAAATATGTTTACTGTGTAAGTGTTGACCACCTTTGTAAAAGATTCAGTTCTGAAGGTTAATTGCAGTGCCGTCTCTTAGGGGTAGAGTGTCATATGTTGCCAAGGACAAAGGAAGAATTACATATAATATTTCCACAAGCACTGGTTTATTCATGGTGTTTGAAATACAAAACTAATGTGCTCATGTTAAATTACAGTGCAGAAAAATTGGCAACAATGATTAAGTTGGTGGTATTACTCCCAAGCACAGTATAGAGAAAACACTACATCTGACACCCCACCGTCAGTCCAGGAAACAACACGTCCACACCCAGCTTGCACTCAGGCAAGGTGCCAACTGACGGCAGTTGGCGTCTTTTTCAACATTGTGATCTTGACTTTTGACTTTTTAACTCCAAAAAACTCAGCAGTTCTATAATTTGTCATGGTTTTGAATTACATGTTTCTTTGTGTTGTAAAGTAAAGCTGCTAACACACACAGTATCTGTTAGATGGTTATATAAGACACAGGAGATGCTGACCACTTTATTCATCACCTCTGTCTTTATGGGTAATGAATCTTATTATCATTTCACTTTTTTCTTGATCTTAAACTGAACCTCATGAACACTTATAATGTATTCTGGTCATCCACAAAACTACATGACCTTTCTCTTTAAGTGCTCTAGCCCTCGGCTGTCAATTGGAGGTCAATTGACTTGAATGTTTGCTTTCGTAGCATAATGCAAATTTCAAAGTTTTAGTCAGTTAGATTATGAAGGTGTCATCACTTGTGTAGATGTACTTACTGTAGATATAATCTTGTGTAATAATCAACAAACACATTACTGTACTATAATTAATGAAAACCAATGATAAATAATGATAACTTGTTCATACATTCTATTATTCATAAGCAGACCTCTTAAACAAGGTGTACTGCACAACACTATATGCCCCTTATCAGTGTTTGCAGTTGGCGAGGGTTTTTTTTTTCTGAGACAATCTATTTTATATGGAATATTATTATCTTATTCTCTCATAAATTTTGGCTAAGTTTGATGACAGCTCTTCTGTGGTAACTGTGTAGTGAGCAGGAAAGGAAAATCAACAACAGACTCACAGACAGACACAGACCATCACACAGACTAAGTGAGAGTGATCAATCCTATAGTCCACTGTGACAACATTACCTGGGGACTAATAAACTCCCAGAAAGCAATAAATGTCATGACAGCCTTCACCCCCTTTTGGTTCACAACTCCCATTAACGTCACTACCAGCCTGGCCACATCCCCTCACCAATTTTCATAGTCCATCTCCTGCATGTGACTCACTCTCACACACACACACACACACACACACACACACACACACACACACACACACACACACACACACACACACACACACACACACACACACACGACAATTACGAAAGAGAAATACCTTCCCCTGAATATATCTTAACGTACTTATTTATTTATATTGTCACACGAAGATGATATATCCCCTGTAAGAGTGACACTAAACAAGGTGACACACTACTCTACGCTCTACCTGATGTATCTTCAAGGTGACACACTACCCGATGTGACCCAAACTCCAAAAATCTTCTCGTGATGACATAGCAAGTTGTGGAAATGATTCTTTTAGTGTAATATCAAGCAAAAAGTAACAATGACGGCCTGACTGCAACAACCAGCCATAAAGTCCTTGGTGGTATGGTTGGGAGGAGCAGAACCATCCCCCACTCTCACGCTCCCCCACTGAGTAATCGGAAATGGTCTCCTGGTGAGATTAGGTTCCTAGAATACCCACGCGTGATATTATTTACTCAAACTTTTGTTGTTGTTGATAATTTGGAATAGTTCTGTGTGAGTCGGCTTCCCTAACACTCACTAGTTACAAGGTTAATGGAAAAATAACGAATCCTTAATATGCCGCACACTATGAAGGGAAAGAATGGGTCACGGCTAACGAGAGGAAAATATCATAACAGTCCACGATCAATGAATATATTCCCTCCGACCTACTTACAGGTGAAGATATATTAACAGTGCTGAGAGACTTCCTGTAAAGATCTAAACATAGCTCCAGGTCTAAACTTTTCATGGCTGGGAAAGTGTCATTGCTTGAGTTTCATATGCTTGAACTGCCAGGTTTAATAAGCACCTTTCATAAAAAAGAAATGGCCATAAAACATTGATGATGATGATGATGATGATGATGATGATTCACTAGGTCTTAGTTTCTAGAACAAATAACACTCAAGTATTCAGTAATACATAGTCACTGGCCAGCAAGGAGAATAAGGACGGTAAAAAAAAAAATTATGAAACCATCACTTCTCCTTGACAGCTCAGGACATGCACAAAAACATGACGTTGACTGGTGCCACCTCTAACATCTATATATACACCAGCTCACCCCTACACGTGTCTGGCATAGAATCAACTGGCTGCACAGAACACAGAGATTTAATAGCTTGACGTAAATGACGCCTCAGATATTTAACAAAGGAAAGAGTTGAAAGATATGTGGGATGACATACATAGTTGCCCTTAAGCGTCGCGGCTCCGAAGAGTATCCGGATATGACTAACCGTGGCAGCATCATCGCAATGTCTGGCATTCCTTACATAACTCACGACCAGTAACTTCACAGGCCAAGAGATTATATGAATGAAGAAAGCACTATACATTATTATAAGCTGTGAATTACTGAGAAATATACCATACATTAAAAATTAACATTATAACCACCATTATAATTTCTGTATTAATAATTACAATGCCTTTATAATGTTTTGCTTCCTTCATACATCTGCACTACTGTATTTTACTATAAATTATGAAAAACAAAACTCAATCATTGCTGGCCACATTAAATATCTTTTAACAATGATATAATAAAACTCTGTAACATTCTCCATCATTCCTTACAAGTTAGGTAGTTCCTCGTGTATTCACTCCGAGCAATGTGTATCATAATTTGCTTCTCTTCTTTTACTTTTATCTGAATACTGTAACTCTTTTAGCTTTTAGTTTTTTTTTATCCTGCAATCCCTCTCCTGCTTCCTCATTAGATACAGAGGATTTAGAGCAACACACTTTCTCATTTGTTATCCTTTATTCACTCTATCTCCTGTAACAAATGTATTCTGCAAAGGTGTGTCAGTTCCAATAAGCCCTAAGAAAATCCAGCTGGGTTACCTTTCACTGTAGCCAACCCAGCATCACTTACCACCAACATTAGGAGTTTCAATTTAGCCGATAATACCGCCCAGCCAGTGGTAAAGGCCCGGGTACACAAGCCTGATGCCAAACCCTCCTCACAGGTGTCCTATTATAGAACTGTAAGTGTGTATTTTTCTTTAAATACTTCCTTAGATAATATTTCTTTATCTTGACCTATCTGTTATCTTTACTCCCTCGCATTTTGTGTCGGGTTATATGAGGCGTCCCGCATCATAAGGTCCATTCAGACCATCCGGGCAAAACCCGTTTTTGTTGGAAAGCACTATTTTCGGCCTAGCTCTATACGATGGTAGTTGATAAGATCTCCTTACTATACTGTAAATAAGGTTGAAAGCCCTTTGAAAATAGGGTAGAACATCGATTTGTGGCAAACAGAAAATTGTGGGCTTGGCTTTCGTGTCATAAGGTGCTCTTATCCCATCAGTGAGTGAGTGAGAGGAGCGGGCGGCCAATCACAGCGGCCAGCCTACAGCCCCCTCCCCCATCTTGGCCAATGACAGTGAGTATCTGCTATCTACGTCACGGCCCCTCCAGCAGGCGGGACCTACACTCTGATATCGATTAAAGTAAAAAAATGCCATAAGCGGGTGGGAGTTTTGTTGCTTCAAGTCAACATTGCAAGAACCATCTGCAAGTACAGTCCTTTATCTTCAAAATGCATGAAAAATGAGTGCTGTATCTCAAAAAATAACAACGTTATGCATGTTTTAAGTTGGAAAACTTTAAACACGGTTTTCTCAGTTTCACATTTTGGCGCGAATAACCCATACGATGAGGGTGCCTCATATCAAGGAGTCTGGAAGTAGGAGGAGTGTGGTAGGGGTGTGTGGTAGAGGTGTGTGGTAAGGGAGTGTGGTAGGGGATATGGAAGGGGTATGTGGTAAGGGAGTTGTGGTAGGGGATATGGTAGGGGAGTGTGGTAGAGGATATGGTAGTAAATATGGTAGAGGAATGTGGTAATGGAGCTTGGAAGGGGATATGGTAGGGGAGTATGGTGCAAGATATGTGTAATAAGAGAGTCAGTAAAGAGTAAACACACTCCAAAAATACTACTTCATATTTCCACAACCCCACACACACCACATTACAGTCCTACTTTCTGGTCCACTACAGCCTTTAATCTTCACTACATTCTTTACTGATTTGTCCTTGTCTCCTTACTTCATAATCTGTGTTATAAATATACTGTACCAATCAGCTGTAGAAGTTCTAAATTTTTTGGGGGTACATATTTTTATCGTCTTTCGTGCTAGTAAGTCTGTGGTGCTAAAAACTGATGAAAGGGGAATAATAAAATATAAAACAGAGGTGAAGCCAGAAGCGAGGTGACCATAAATTTTTTATTTTATTTGTTTTAAGAACCCCCCAGACAGTGCTCTTACACCATGCCCTGTCTCTCCAAGCCTGAGTGACTGAATATCCTCTGAATGCTCTGATACGATCGAATCAGATAAGTCACATGTAATGAGAAGGAATGGGTGATAATTGTAATGAGGAAGACTGGGTGATAGTTGTAATGGGGAGGAATGGGTGATATAGCTGTAATAGGAAGCAATGGGTGATTAATTATCCTGTCATAATATCCACCCCTTCCACTAAATCACCCCTAAATCTGGTTTACCCCTTCCCCAGTCACCCAGCATCAACCATCAGCTCCCCCCCACCCAAAAAAAAAAACACTTGACATTACGATTTTAACCTCCTTTGTACACACACACTGGTCCTTCTTGGATGTCCCTCCTTTACCCTATCCTGCCATGCCCTTGATTCTTCCTTCTCCTTCTAACTTGTATATACTTATAATAATATTAATTCTTACCTTGTGAGTTTGGCTCCAATTGCTTCCCTAAACTCCTTTCTGTCATTCTCAGACTGTACAGGGATGATGTTGCGGTCGATGAGGTCTTGTTTGTTTGGTCTACATTTTAATTTTTGTGCAAGGCTATCTCTTCTTGCTACTTTCGTCGCTAAACGATCTGTAAGAATTCGAAGGTACAAAATTAAAACAAATTAGTAATATAGAATGTGTTTGTGTGTGAGTACAGTATATGTAATTTTTGTTACATTAATTTTTCTATCAACTTAAGTTAATTTTCAAGAATATGGGACCATTTAATACAAAAAAAAAAAATTAATGCTTTCTCATCACCAAATTCCAAACTATTTTATCCTTTCCTGTTGCTTATATTTATCACTTTTAACTTCCTATTCCTTCTCTATTTTTTTTATTTCTTCGAGTAATAAAATTAACATAATGAATCAAACAAGAAATAAAGAGTCTCCATCATACTGGTTTAAGATAATCCACCTGGCTCATGTCTCAGGTATATGACTTAAGCTAACACAGGATAATTCACTCACTGGTACTCTGGAGTTTGACTAATATGAAGACAGAGAGAGAGAGAGAGAGAGGAGAGACAGAGAGAAGAGACAGAGAAAAAGAGAAAGATATACAAGAGAGAATGAGGGAAAACAGAGAGAAGAGACAGAGAAAAATAAAAAGATAGACAAGAGAAGAGAAGAAAGAAAAAGATAAGAGAAGAGAAAAAAGGGAGAGAAGTGTAGAGAAGAGAAAAAGAGAAGAAAAAAAGAGAAAAAGAGATAGATAGCCACTCAAAAATACATCAAAATTTTTTTACAGAATACAACGAAAACCCCAACAAACTTGTAACCCATAGATACATTAGTGATACCCAGAGGCTACCAGTGAGTGAATGTCCCTGTATAATGGATGACCACTATAAGAGTTCTCCTATTTCAGTCGTTTAAGCGAAAAGTAAAATGGTCCGGGACATAATAATTGGGGACAAAGTTTAGTGGTCCGGGACATAATAATTGGGAAGAAAGTTTAGTGGTACGGGACATAATAATTGGGAAGAAAGTTTAGTGGTACGGGACATAATAATTGGGAAGAAAGTTTAGTGGTATGGGACATAATAATTGGGAAGAAAGTTTAGTGGTACGGGACATAATAATTGGGAAGAAAGTTTAGTGGTCCGGGACATAATAATTAGGACTTCCTGCACTGTATATCACATCCAATATACAGTGTGTGTGTATATCTTTATATGCTGTAAGTATATATTTTATTTACATATTACAGTAATTCATTCATTTATATATTTCAGTTTTACAGGATACAGTGAATTTTACCTCCAGGAAGGAAACATATTGAAGAAAGATACAGAAAAATAGTAGTTTGCTAGTTTAATGCTGTTAATATAAAGAAATAATAGCATTAATATTATTTACATGCATAACAAAAATACTCAGTGACTATTTATTCTATATATATATATATATATACAGTATATATATATATATATATATATATATATATATATATATATATATATATATATATATATATATATATACATAATACTATAAGCTATCTTTAAGTGAAGAAGCAGTGCTACAAAGCCCACCCAACAGTGCTATAATCATACCCACCCAAATAATAATAATAATAATAATAATAATAATAATAATAATAATAATAATAATAATAATAATAATAATAATAATAATAATCAATGCCTTAGTGATCACATATAAATTACTAAAATGGCTAAACAAGAATGCAATATTAAGGAAATGTGTTCGTTAATAACCATATTCTTCTCTAACAATGACGAGCTGTACGACAGATAAATTCTACTACTTTTTACCTCCCAGAAATACGTCTATCAGTTTTGGTCTGCACAAACATATATAAAAAATTAAGTTCATGTGATAATCTTTCTATGTTTTATGCTGTCAGTATTTTATCACTATATACAGTATGTTCATAGCAGTAAGTTGCCTCCTGTATACACTGAAGGTATAGAAATCTTCAAAAGTTTTACACTGAGCAAGAATTCTGACCGCTGAAGATCCCCACGTCGGCATCCATTGATAAAATATTTATCATAGAATAAACACTAAAGTCTATATCTATTTATCCAAAACATTATCTAACATAAAATAAACATAAAAACATCAGCCCCCAAGAATACTGTACATCACATTAACATTCATCTCAGTATCTCACCTACACATTCCTTCCTTCCCTCACTATACACAACTCCATACAACCATTCCTTCATACTAACTTCTCTTTATTTTCCTCATTTTCTTTGTTTCCTCTTCCTCTAACCTCCTCTTTACCACTTATTCATATGTTGCTCTCTTTTTAAAACTATATTTGCATATAATTTTTTTCCAACAGGTCAGCTTCATCAGTATAACACCATCCCTCACCTTTGTCATTCACTTTTCCTACCAATTCCTGTGTCCTATACACATTATCCATACAAGCAATTCCTCTCACTCCACAGCAAACTCTTAACAACTCTATATCTGTTGCTTGTTTCTTATACGTACTATATAATAATTGGGCTCTTTATTTTGACGTACTTTGAAATAATCTTAAAATATTCCAGTAACTGTTCCACCATTTCTCGCCCTTCATTCCTTTATCGTTCTTACAGAGACCTTTGCCAACACTCCATCTAAATGTACTTGAAATAAACAATGTGAAATAACAAACCTATTTCCTTTGCTTGTCCTTTACTAACCTTCTTAACTCTTTTTTAATACATTTCATACATTCTATAATTTATGTAGACAAACAAGTACACACACATACACACATATGCACGAATACATCTACACCCTCACAAGTGTAAAGTCCATGTTGTCTTGGGGGGTAATGGTTCAAGACACCACTTTTCATAAAATAATTGTGTATCATCCTTATTCACAGACCACTGATATATATTAAAAAAAAAACTTTATTCTTACACTCCTTCAAAAAAATGCATAAAATTCAGTACATCTATTTTCCTAAAGTGAAGACAAATTAAAAACCTGTTTACTGTAGCATGCAGAAGTAAGAAACCACCACCGCTATTTCCCAAAGCTACATCACCATCTACATTATTTACAGTGAAGCTTCCATTGTCTTTTTTCTTTTCCATAACAAAGTGCAGCCACATGCAACCTTCTACTAGTGTGAGTTAACCAAGGTCCCCATTCACTGAGTAACAGCTACACCAGAGTATCTCTAGATAAGGATGGGAATCAACTTTCTATTAACATTTTAGTTGGAATAATTATCGAACTATTTAATGTGGGACTAAAAATTTATGTCCCCGTCATCGCCATCATAAATATGTGTCGAGACGAGGACCTACAACCTAATCCTTCTGTGTGGGATGAGTCAGGGCTTAAACCTCCTACACAGAGCCCTGACCTCAGTAGCATTATTCACTTCACCTCTTACCATGTATAAGGTACAGATGTCAGTAAACAGAAGATAAAAGATAAACCAAGGAGATAAGAGACACTGGAGTAGGCGACTGAATTATGTAAAAAAAATAATCAACAAGAAAAATTATTAGCATTCCCATTTAGTTACCTCATGCAATGCTTTATAATACAGAGGATAAATAATGTCTCCAGATCAGAGAGGGAATAATGTCCAAAACCGACTGGTAATGGCGGTTAATGATAAAAGATCCTTTAACCTCTTCTCAACAATACTGTATCGCAAGGATGCTGCATCACTGTGCCCTGTACTGTATTTAGTTAAACATTGTCTTATACAGTACCTTGGATAATACAAAACAGTGATATATGAAATCCCATATTATAACCAAGGGGAAGAGACAAGTAACCTTAGAGATTCCCTCACTAAAACATTCCCAGTATACAGCCTGTGGTCACCCGGGGTTCATCTGTACTCAAGAAGAAGGAGCAGTGTTCTGTCAGTTAAGTTGCCACATCAGCAGCTACTCAACCAGTCAATCTGAGCTTATCAAAGCAGAGCCTGAGCCTCCATCCAGTACAGCAAGTCACCAGGAACACCAGGACCAATGGTGGAGCTTCTTTTCTTGTTCTGAATCTCTCAATTATAAAGAAAACCTCAATTGGAGGCTGTAGGGATTCCAGGTCACTTGGCTTTCTCCATTGGTCATAAATTAGGATTTCATGCTTTACTAGCTGTGATATATCTCACTCTTGTGTATTTTAATAGTGAATGAGGAGTTCCATCAGAAGGGAGGGAAATGGATCATATAGTTTCACATCCAACGGACCCTCGATATAATGGATTTTCTTCTACATATAGTCCGTTAAATAGAGGTTTCACTATATACTATTATCGCATGAGGAGGAATAATAGTGGAACAATCACAGCTGAGGTGAATTTCCTACCTGAGAATGTTGATATAGAATAAAGAGTTGAAAAAAGAGAAAAAATACAAAGAAGAGATATTAACTTAGGTGAGAATTTAGATATTGAAGTAGAAGAAATATAATATGTAACTAGATATATAATCCTTAAAATATTGATTAAAAAAACAACAGAATATTTTTAGAAAAACGAACTGAACGATTATCTCTTTAAAGATAACTGATGCTTTCTTCTTCTTCTTCTTCTTCTAGGTCCAAAATAAATGTGAATACTGAGATACTCTAATCATTTGTAAGGAATGTAAATACAGTATCAAGCAAATGACTAAAGGAAGGTAGAATGTGGAGTTTTTGAGACAGGCAAGTGGATAAATGTAAAGAGAGGATGTAGTAGTGGGGCATGGAGGTCTGATGGTAATGGTGGTGGTAGTCTGGTGGTGGTAGTAGTGGTGGTAGTGGTGATGATGGTACCCAGGTGTAAGGTGGTAGTACTAGGTTGTATTGGTGTAAGGTGGTAGTGGGGGATGGTAAAGAAACTAGAAAGAGTAACAAAAGTTACTAATGAAAAAGCTGTGGTATTTTATATAAAGTTCCACAAGAGCTATTTTAGTCAACACCACAGTAGCAAAAGCTAACCATGAATTAAAAGGTTCGTGTCTCGGTATAATATAGTTAAGTTTTATTTTTCCATTATGTTATGTGCTCAAATATATACAGTACAGTACACTATAACTTCATAATATATACAGTAAAACCTCAATATAACGGACATTTATCTCTATATATGGTAGTTCATTAGATGGAGGTTTCACATCTAACGGACCCTCGATATGATGGACTTTCCTTTCGATATAGTCCGTTAAATAAAGCCTGTAGCCCACATGGATGCACATACTTCAATCACGTCAGTTAGCGTGGAAACATAATCATATATTAATGGTAGATAGACATAAATAGAATACAATACTTTACATAAAGATACTTGCCAAACAATTTCCAGATGATGTGATGAGTAATCCAACCAAGTGACGAGTGTAGGGTTACATGGGGACAAACAAGGTGGTTTAATAAACACTCACGGCATCGGTTACTATAACACTATATCTCAGGTCTAATAACACTAGATGCAAGCACAAGACATCACTCACACTTACATCACCATCAAATGTAAACATCTGTCACAACAACAAATTAATTAATGATGATGAATTAATGATGTTGGACTAATAACCAAATACTGTACTGGATTTTTTTTACATGAAATAATTTAATAGCAAAATTAAAAATCTTCAGTGGAAAGTAATTACAGTTTAACTTTATAAGCTACTGTCAATTAAATTTATCTCAATACAAAAAATATTAATTATTATCAATACTGCATTTAGATGTTAAAGTTTTAAAGAATAACAGTAAAATTTTCACTACAATTAATATTTTACAGATGTTCATTTTCAATGTTGATGAAGTAGTTTCTGAAAGCCTTCCACCACACCTTTGAAGCTAATGGTCTGTACACAACTACAAAATCAAATAGGATAAAACAAAGACCAATTATCTCAACTGAAACAAGCACATCTTAGTAAATCAAGCAAGAAAACCATAAACCATGCGTGTTCAGAGGGATCACCACATGTAAAGTCTCAAGATGTATTGTCATGACAGCATATACAGTAATCCCTTCATGTAAAGCACAAGTATCTAAGGCAGGAAATTAGTGCAGCGCTCCCTTAAGGTAATGCAGTGAGCAGGTAATAGGTACTTTTTAGCTGGTCCTTCCTGAAGCCCCAGAGTAAACAGAGGCAGAAACTGTCAGTGAAAATTATAAGTTGGGGAAACTGTCTTGTAGAGGCCACTCAATGTGGACTTGTGGGTGGAGGGCCTCTGGGAAAATTTTTATTTGATTTTGATATTACAGTATAACAAAGTTTCTATGTAAAATTACAAGCCAATGTGAACTTAACATGAGGTTGACTAAATCCAGTTCCTGTATTACATGCAAGGATTACTGTATAAAGAGGACTGTATAATCAATCACTTGTTTATTACTTGATAAAAGTGATATGACAACAGACACCTAATAAATACTGGTGTCATAGGAAATAATTAAGGTTTATCATCATTAAAGCTGCAAACTGCAAGAAACACAAATTAATTTACTAACTTTATTAATATTACAGCAGAGTGGACTAGAATTTTACTATGGCACTGAACCTCCCAGTGTGGCCGCCCTTAACCCTCGTGGTGATCCCTGTGTCATCTCATAAGTATGTATCAGAGCTTTTTGATTGCATTATTTCATAGGCTAGCTAATGAGGCGCTGTTTGTATTACTCAGCTGTTCTAATTTTCCATAATACAATAATCTAATTTATCAAGTGATTCCAACAGTTATTAATCTCTATGAAGCTAACGTGTGATATTTATAATCCAAAAATTAAAATTTACTTGAATTTTTACATAAACATTTCAATTTGGTATGTGGACTGACTCAGTAAAGCCTTTAACAGACTATATAATATACTTGTATTCTCATTCATATGAAGATATATTTTGATGCCTATGTATCAAACACACATCCGGTACATGCTGCTATGTAAGAATCATCTGAACAACTGCATTTGTAACATTCAGAATATAAACTAATAGATAAATGGATCAAGACTACACTGCATACAGCATCACACAAGCTAAAAAACACAAGAAATTCATAAAATCTGAACATGTAAGAGAAACGAAAGTTGGAGATTCCACATACACAAGACAGGTTCCTATTTTTCTGCACAGCCAAGGTCGTCAATTCCTATCTCTGGCCATTCTTTTGATCCCAACATCAATAACACAATAAGAAAAAAATCTAAAACTTTGCAGACTATAAATTATTTGTAACACTACATCTCCTCCTCCCCTTGCAACCTAACAACCCTTACACAAATTATGGCTCCTTATCTGTTCTTAAAACATGAAAACTGTTTGAAATTTACTTTATAAAACACTTTCATGCATTACATAAAATATTTACCCCAAAATGCATACAATTATGGTGGGGTAATAAGTATTTGCTACTTAAGGTGGCAAAGCTTCTCAATGGGCCACAGCAAAGTCCAAGGGGCCAAAACTGAACATTAATGACAAAGAAGTAATTACTGAACTCTCTGATATCTTAGATCTCTCTTCTGCTAGTTGGTCGATGTTGTGTTAACTAAGTGAGGTCCACACACACACACAGTCACACAGATACATACCATTTCTATACTGTATCTTATTCGCAAGTACTGTATATAAAGGGTGTATCAAAAGTACGTTCTCATAGGGGAAAGTTATTGTTATTTTTTTTAGTTACGTCATTGCTCTTCAGAGATGAGTGACTACACACAGCACCATTATCAACTTCAGAACACAGATTGACATGTGTATTCACGTAAAAGGTTCTCGGTTTCAGCATCTGTTGTAACGAAGGATATAATTTGCTTTCCCCTAAGAGAACGGACTTTTGATACACCCTGTATATCTTGGGTGGTTCTACTTTAGTTCGCATCTTAATGTTTTACCCATAAGCTAATCCCGTAAAAAAAAATAAAAATCCAGTTATCACACAGTCATACCAGCATCTTAAGCCGTGCACACTAGACACCCTCGGAACAGTCAACACCACGGTCTTCTCGCATGATCTTATTGTTGGAACCACTGGCTAACAATTCCTAACAAGCGATTAATCTTTGAAGATGCCCAAAATGTTCTCACAAAAGCTGAATAGAAATAAATAACTCGAACAAAATTACATCTACAGTATAATGCTTTTCCACACAGGTTAATGACTCAGGTTAAAAGAATAAAATCCATTCTACTGCCTTATATCTACAAAAAAAAAAAATAATAAGGGTTCTATAAGACTGCACAACTGCATTTCAATTAGTACTACAGTTAAGTCATCAGCCTATACGACGGTCAGTGCTCACCATCGTCCTCATCATCATCACGGTAGAGAATGGGGCCGTCCTCGTCGTCATCGTCCACCCGCGACTCTTGCAAAGAGTTGGGAAGAACGGTGTTTGGAGGAAGATAACTGAAAGGAACGCTATTTTCTTTATTTTCTCCCGATGACTTGTCCCCGTCTCCTCTACTGTAGGAGAATCGGATGGGCTTGGTGCTGTGGCGGGAGAACAGATATTGATTAGATGTGTAAAGTCCCTCAAAGAACGGCAATGTCTCCTACCATGCACTAACCATGCGGGGTAAGTTAGACTGTCTTAAGAGATCTGTGAGTCCTACACTGTTACTTTAGATATTAACTCCTAGCATTAAGATGAGGTGTTTTTAAATGGTATAATATCTACCTATGACCTTAAATATTAATAATAATAACAAACAATAGACACTAAGTCCTCACACTAATGCCATACAGGTATCTCAGGGTACCACTATAATATATAACACTCATTTTGACAGATAGACTAAAACTGTTTTCTTCTTTAATCTTAAAAGTTTTAAACCTACACATAAAACTAAAAGACATAATAGACCATTTCCATCACCATCTTTTTGCTGTCTACTACCTCAAGGATTCTTCAGAAATATAGTAAACACCTGAGGTAATCATCCAATTGCTGCATATTTTACTTTCAATTAACTATCCTATTGAGTCATTATGAACAAATAATTATCAACAAGGTATTATTCTGTTACTGTCAGCTGTACAATAAAGAGTTACCATCTTCCTACACATTATTTAATCTACACCTCATTATATTATCTGTGAATCCAACACTTAACTCATCACTTTAAGCCACATCACATAAAGCATCACTCTGTATCCTCACGTACAGAGGACAACACACTGGAGTAAGACACCTTGACATGCACTAAATTCTAATACTTGAGACAGGTCATGGCACATCATGAAAAAAATGCATTATTGACTTTTCTCTGAACAGCTCCAGTTGCTGGGAGACAAAATCCATGACAATAATTATGAGACTGATTTAATTCATTCCATATTAATTTTATTGTGAATATCATAATCAATAGTGTGGTGCAGAGATGACTAAAATATATATACTGTACTGTACATACTGTATAATAAAATTTAGATTATAATTATATCAAAGTTTTAGTGTCTTATTATAATAAGGTTTATATTCATTATTTTTAAGATTATAAAGAGTCATGCAGGCCCTTAAAACATGCAAGGTAGCCAGCAACATGCAGGAGAAATAAGACCTTATCTAACAAACAATGAAAGTTTCCTTACTTTTCCTAATTCAATATATACAATTAAGACTTCCTCCCTACACATACACTTACATCTGATTATATACATTTCCCTCACTGAGGAGCCGCCACCAAGGGTATCAAGGGTTTGACAATAAAATCCAGTACAAACAGAGGTACAGGTGCAGATAAACTTGGCCAGTTTCCTAACCTAAAACTTGTTGACATTATTTTGCAGTGAAATCTCTATTTATTGGACTATATGGAGAAGAAAGTCCGTAATGTCGAAGGTCCATTAGATATGAAACCTCCATCTAATGAACTACTGTATATGCAGATGAAAGTCCGTTATATGGAGGGTCTTTTACATGTGAAACCTCCATCTAACGAGCTACAGCATATAGAGATGAAAGTCCATAATATCGAGGGTCCTTAAGATGTGAAACCTCCATCTAAAGGATCATATGAAGAGAGAAGTCCAGTCGTATGAAGTTTCACTATATAACTACGCTTCAACAAGGTTAATAATTACACTCGTCCCATCAGAAATTAATAATCATGAGAGATATAGTAACACTCAGTCAAGGTAGCAAAATGCACTGACCACTGTATCAATCCATGACTGAAATGAATCGACTATTGATTAAATGAAATGCTACAGTATATAACTATTGTGTGTAGTTGTTCAAAACAGACAAAAAGTAACAATGGTTTGATAGTTGGATGAGTAAATAGTCTAGAGACTATATCAGAGGGGGGGTCATCATATTTGACCTCAATTTCACCTAACCTAACCTACCTGATAGAATATAATCTAACCTAACATAATCTAACCTACCCTAGCCATACCATTAAGACTAGGACTCAGTTCAAATGGACCTCAAATCCTAATAATTTAGTTAGGCTGGAAACTATTAAGATTGGAATCCATTTAACCTTTCACAAATTCTTCTTCTTCACTCTCCCAATCATAAAATCTCACTGAAACTTTCGCTGAATGAAAACCAAAAAGGTAACTGGTAATTGTCCCTTGAAGATCTATTATCAAGTCCCATTAATTGGTGGTTTATTCATATATATATAAGTAATAATTATAACAAATGCCTAAGAACATGAACATGAAAGTAAAACATAACACAAACAGTCATTAAAAGGATCAAGAAGGCCAAAATATTCCTGGTAGAAGAGGCCAACCGTCCCCCTTGTCATGCCACGGCAAAATCCATCCAGAGAATTTGCATTAAGTCTGAACAATAAACACATAATATTTACTTTTGACCACACACCTGTCAATATGTGGCCGAGTCTTCACGTCCACAACTTACAGACACAGACAGGTGAATGGAATGACAGGTAGCTATCGAACACAACCCACAGACATAACCTCACATTACCCGCTGATAGACACCTACGACTTTATAAAGATTTAGTAACTAATCTAACTCATAAAGTGATCTTCCTTGAATATTCTCATCTTTATAATTCTTTAATATTCCTCACTAAATAACTATTATCTAGGGAGACTCTTCACTAGAAATGTGTAGTAACTATTTGTACTTTTGATTCCTATTTTGTATTGCTATTCCTGATAACTTTGTCTCAACGTAAACAGTTTATACATTGACCAATTATGACACCGAAAGAAGGAGAAACAGCGGGCAGCAGAGGCAAGCAGTCAATGGTCATAGGGAAAAAAAAAAAAGAGTATTTTTTTCACTGAATTTGATGCATTAACAGAGATCAAACATGCGAAAATGATCCACTTCCATAAACAGACCATGATTTACTATAAAGAGTTAGACTAAAACTGTGACATAACATCTTTTATGAGCCTATGCTTCAAATCTCTACAGTCAAGTGATAACATTGGAAATACCGTAACAATCTCATTCTCCATTTAATACTTGGTTGGTAACTGATTCCCTTCACTCGCCAAAGTTATTCATTGATGTTGTATCATATTTTTCCTGAGCGTCAACACAGTTACAAACAATAAAGTCATCACAACACAATACAGTTGCTCTTAAACTTCAAAGGTAAAAGCTTTTGCTCATAAAATGTGACAGTCACACAATCATGCGAGCGTGTACTAGACTTGACGGGCGGTAACAGGCACTGGTCTGGAAGCTGCGTTACCTGAACCTAATCCTAACACTGGGTCGAAGCGGTAGGCGCCTTGGGGAGGGAGAGGGGAAGATAGATGGGTTATTGGCACAGACACTTAATAATGGGGTCAAGGCAGAGGGTAAGGACCATGTATGGTCAGGTTACTGGTAGACCAAAAAATACTGAAATTAGGTCGATGGCAGCCCACATGTCCTCTAAATACTGATAATAAACTCAAGACAGACATCAGGGAACTGTTTCTCTTACACTACAATAAATAACAACTGTAGTTTTTGTTACCAAAGTCATAATTTTTGTTTAACTGTAATAAATCCATCATAGGCCCTGTCTGTCACTACATATTCTTACAAGTTGTTCTATAAAGGACATATAAAATCACCAACTTCAAAGCTACGTAGTTCTAAAACAATAGTAAATTTTAGGATGCTTAAAACACTTTATATGGCATGTGTACAGAAAATTAAACTATGTACTGTAATGGCAAGTAAGAAAAGGCATTAAATGGGGATAACTTCAGAATTTTTGAGTAACATCCAGTAACCAGACATGAATAATCCAAGACAGAATGCTTAGATTTTTGCATGGTTTATTAGTTTTAAACTGTATACTGTACAGGTTGACCAAAACATTAACAAATATATCTACAATTAGACTCAAGATTTGTCTGTAAAATTCACCATTACAACAGAGCTTCAAAAAATTCCAGGCAAAAATCTAAGCACTGTATTACATGAGAATCAAAGGCTAGGTAGTCAGGTTGTCACGTGTGAATACCTGGCTCGAGATCTCCTAATTCCATATGCTCTGGTTTGTAAAGAAAAATATATGTGCAAAATCAGATTCTAATGGAAGAAAATCTTTATTCTAAGGAACATTAATCAATCATATGATCTAAATTAACTGTGTATGATCTTTCTTTGTGGCTATACAATGTCTATACTTATGTACAAAAGGAAATAATTAAGTATTCTTTAAGCATATTTGTATTCCTAAAAGATTACATACTGTATATTAGAGAGAAGAGAAACCAAAACTTTTCAGCATTTCAATTCGTCTTTCCAATATATACATTATATCACAGGTACCCTAAGTGAAGTACACCTGTCCTGTGCTACTAAAGTGAGGATGATCAGACTTTTCACATTATTTACATCCCACTGTTGAGAATCACCAAAGCAAAATCGTTTTTTAGTTTACACATTTGAGGACTTGAAATCTACTGTTATCACATTACAAGTGAAAGACCAACACTCTCTGTATTGGAATAACTTCGGGGATTGACGTTAATCGCTATCCAAGAAAAAATCTCACTTCACTGTATTCTGTTAATTTAGTTTGTTTTCAGTCAATTATTCTACATTTTGACATACAGGTGTTTGGCTGGACAAATCAATTTTAATGTGTGAGCCCTTAATTGGTGGCTAAGAATTCCCCACTCTCCCCATATACACAAAATTTTAACATTGGAAACATGAAAGTTCCACAGATGACGGCCGCCATCCCTACAGCTAAGTTCCACAAATGACGGCCGCCATCCCTTCTGCTAACTTTCACTAATGATGGCTGGCATTTAAGGATTAACTCCAGATAAAAGTCCATCATTTCAACCAATTTCTGCATATCATTATTATTATTTAAAAAATTATTATAGTATTTTTCTACCCTAATTTGTTTACCTAACTTTGACACCGAAGTAGTTCCATTACCATTACTATTAACATTAGACTACATTAACACCAGCTGATTTTGTCATCATTTGGGCAATTAACAATTATTTTTTGTTTTTATTTAGATAAGAGAAATTAGCCCCTAACATATCTACTCAGGCAGGAGGCGTTAAAAGTTATGGCATACCCTTGAACTGGCCACCACCCAAACGTCTCTAACTGAACACAAGTCAGATGGATTTTTTTTCTCAGGATTTATACACAAAATTTTATCTAGATATTAAACAAAATTTTGCTCCAATGATGAAACCTGGATATAAATAAAAACAGACAGACTAAGAGAAGCCGATTCTACACCCCCTCCAGCTTTAATGAGAGGGGAACAACAAAACCCATAGAACCTCAAAACCACAAGCCAACTTCTGTAAAACCTTCCACTGCATTATTAAAATTCTTTAATCAGTACAACACGTCAAGATAATACTGTATCAGGCTTATTAACAACCATTCAATTGGCCCAAGTTCGTAGGAATGACATTGTGTAAAACTGTTTGAAAGTTCTCTTATGTTGCCTACAGTGAGGCTAAACCTTGTGTTGCCTATAATACTGAAGGTAAGAACTTCAGATGAATTTTCTACAGCATTTTCTACATAAATATCAAACAAGGAGGAACTATATTAACAAAACATGACAGCTGGTATGGTGGTTAAAGGTAAAGCAATAAAATATTATTACTTGTTAAAAAACAGTTCCACTTCATTCTGTTAATGTTCTGCTTCTATGTTAATCACATCTTTTTGCTGTAATTAACAACACTCAGAAACACTACAGTAGTTATAAACAACAACACTAGTCTAGACCAGTTCTTACCTGTTGGAGTCTTGCCGTACTGATAGAGGCTTACTGCCGTCCGTAGGGGTGCCCGCAGGTGGCGTTCCAGCCGACCCATTTGCTGTTCCTGAGGGATTTTTCTTCTTAAGGGCAGATTTGAGAGGTTTGGCGTCGAGCCTGGGCTCCCGTGCAGGCACCTCTTCCACTTGTGAAGTGTCGTAGTGACCAAGACTGCTGTTGAAATATACCACACCATCCACGTCCGTGCCTTCATCATCATCTTCTACGTCATCATCTGCTAACACAGTAAAATTCAGTGTCATTAACCTCGGTAGTTCCCACATATACAGTACATGATACATAACCTTATGAAAAGATGTTACAATACATTTCCAACTTCAACTAATTTACTGTATGAAACTTATATTAGGTACAGAGTGCAAAAAAGATATTTCTATTTTGATGAAGAAAAAACAAACAGTCAGTCAGGACTATATTCAGTCTTAGTAGTAACTAAAGGAGCAATAAAAATAATATATCTATGTCATAAGGTCATCATCAGTAATACTTGACAACATAAAAGTCTATATATATATCTGTGGGAGAGGAAACACATCACACTATGAAATTATAGAAAACAATCAAAGTCCACTTGCGGAAAATGAAGTGCCCTGCCCTTAAAGGAGTTAAATAAAAAAATTATATTTCATGTAAAGTACAGCAAATAATGTGAACATATTACAATATCAAAATAGGATTTAATTCATGCATATCAAAGACAAAAAATTAAAGGGAGCGTCAAAACCAAATAGCATTTGTCTAGGATGTGACTCACTTGAAGAAGGGAATCACATTTATTGGCAGCTCTCACTTGACCTATCGGTTCTCTTCCACACAATTTTGCCATCATTAGCAACCGTCATAATCAATGGAAGTTGATTGGTTGCTGGTTGTTGACAGAGTTGCCTGGCCACTGATGTGTGTGTGGCTGTGTGACTCAACAACAACAACAACAACCAATCAATAAACTTCTGCAAATTGTGACTTTCGTCAAGGACACCAAAAGTGGAGAGACCTTATTCGATAGTTCACTGTGACTACAATATAAACTAATTTAATAAACTTGCACAGCCAAGCAGTCAACAAAGAGTAAGTTGTCAAAGGTTTCATGAAACAAGTCCAGAAAGAACGTAAGTTTATAAAGAAGAATAATCTCACAAGAAAGGACAGTCCATGTAGCCGCTGTAAAATCATTTTCTTGGGAGTAAATAGTAACACAATTATTCATGATGTATAAGAGTGAAAATTGTAAAATCAAAAGAAGTGAATAATAAAAGTTAACAGAATTAACTGGTCTTACACTCTTGTGGTTCTTTTACTGTTATTAACTTTATATAAATACTGCAGTACAGTATTTGACTTTCTAAAGGAAGTTATATATAATAATATTCTTTTTGTGTTGTTTATCTAACAAGACAAACCTGACAAGAAGATTATCTAATGTTTGATGTCTTCAGAGTACAGTATAATAAACTGTAACTTAGCAACAGATGAGCCATATTATCCTTATATACAACAAATAAAGTAGTTGTGGTAGGTGAGGAATGCCAGGAAGGTGTGGTCAAATGAGTACAATAATTTACTGTTTTTTCCCACCCTGTCTAATTGGCCACAAGGCAACATAAATATTCCATTAATTAGCAACTATCAATAAATAAATTTCAAGGGGGCAGACCTCCTCCAAGAGTGTAATATCATAATGGGTGCAGAGAAAAACAAAATAATAGTATTCTAAAGTATATACAGACCAGGAAATTATTCATGTAAATATAACTATCAAATGAATACTTAAGAGGGACTTTGTATCACCCTGGGAGGCACAGGGCAACTCAGAGGTTATGGTGAGGGATATTTTAAAAGGGAGGTTCTATATTGTTTAAATAATGTAGCTTGTCAGTCAGTCACGAGCTGAAAGAGTTATACACAGATCACCACAATCAGGGGACAGATGGTTGAACATATATGCTTTAATGATTAGTTACTGGAAAAAGAAATGAATTACATTCTATTTAGTACATTTCCACGATAGCACAGTCATAATTACATTCGATTTAGTACATTTCCAGGAGAGAACAGTCATAACTTCATTCTCTTTAGTACATTTCCAAGACAGCACAGTGATAATTACATTTCCTTTAGTACATTTCCAGGACAGCACAGAGTCATTATGCCATTTAGTATACAGAGAGAGGATAAAGAGAATAAAAACTGTACAGTACGTAGCTGAGAAACAGTTGCAAGAGATGATACTAGTAGTTTGTGGTGGTCACATGTGTAAATGACTGGAAAACAATTGTATCTCATTGATAAGATCATCCATGAAGCGTTGACTTTATCAGGATTATAAAAAAGACATTCATTAGAGCACTCAAAGCTGGAATAAAAACATGAAACAAAAACGGCTAAAAAAAAAGAAGAAAAAAGTAAAGCTAAAATTAAATGCTATACAAAAAAAAAAACGTGTTGTTCGTTTACACTCTTCCAAATGTCCACCAAACGTAAATAAAAGGTATCAACAGTGAAAGAATCCACCCACCTCAAGTGCATCCACGGTAACAAAATCTTTAAAAAGAAAACAAAAGCCACATAATCACACCTCATAAGTCTTAATTCTTGAAGTGAACTCCTTGTTATTTTTATGTGATGTTATGATGACCACCGTGATCATTTACATTGGTGTTGAACGTTGAATGGTTGCACATTGGGATGAGTACTATGGTATAACTACAGTACCATTTGTTTATCAGGCACAATTCCTGCTAGAGTGAAGCAAAGGCAACCATGATACAATGGAGGGTAAATCATGCCAGAGAGAAAAAAAAAGGAGAGACTTTTAATCATAGCTACACCAATCGTGTCTGTTTCTGATAGTAGGCCAGATCCTAGGTTTGATATTACGGCAAGGTACAATAATCACGTCTCTTGCTGGTAGCGGGCGAGAACCTGGGTATCACCCTGGAAGTCACTTGTCACTGTCTCCCTTTAACACTAACTGGGGGATCTAGGTTTCACATCATGGACAATTGCAAGATGTTTTCCAATAATATGGTAAATAATAACTTTTTATGGTGAACTGACTAGTCTAGGCATTAAAAATCTAAGAGTTATATGTATAAAATAACTAAATAGGGGTGTATTTTAAACATGTCTTCTCTTTGGAAAGTAAGGCTAGAGTCTACAGCACAAAGAGACCAGCTTCTCTTACCCACTGCAGGAGACTAAAGGTAATGTTGGTTTAACAAATGAACAATCAATTTAAAATGGCAGAGATGTCCCACACTATAATCATTCAACATTAGCCAAGTGTTTTTTAGTTCTGTAGTAGTTTTTCCTCACCATGGTATTCCTTTATCTAATGCTCTCTGTTTTAAATTGTTCTATGGTACTTGTCAATCTACAAGTGGTAGCAATTTATTTCTTACAGCTAAATATCAGCATGAATTGTTTAAAAAAAATAAAAGCAGTAAAATGTTAACTATGTAAGTAAAATAACTATAACAGAAGCAGACCCATAGCCAAATAGTTCACAAGGTGATCTTAAAGGTGCTGCTTCAAGATGGCTCCCCGGAAGAGAGCGTCAGGCTAATGAGAGCAATAGCACAAACACAAGTAATCAAAGACATTTCTTTACATACAAACACCTTCTCTGTCTAGTAATGAGTATGACAGTAATCACTTGTATCTCTATGATGATGTACTTTGGTCATACTTGAGGTCATCTTAGCCAATCTCTGTAACAGAATTTATCCCATGTTACTATTGATCCATTAACAGTATAAAGCTGTTTCACTTACACTTGAAAATGTTGACACTGAGCATATTAGATAAATAAACCACTATTTCATAAGCGTGTGTAACAAAAAAAAATGGACACCATTCTACAACCTTCTTGCAGTTGGGACAATGCAGAATATTATTTTCTTCTTCCACCAACAACCAGAACCCTGTAAGGTTGTCACACAAGTAAGAGAAGCTAATGTAAAGCAAAAAGAAAACACTGTAACTTTATCTACTTCACTGCCTTTCTCACTGGGGTATACTTTATACGGATAGGATGCCCCCCCCTCCCCCCAACCCCCAAAAAACTATCAACTACCTTGCTTTACCTTATCATCTACATAATTTATTCATTTGCAATAATAATCCATTCATAGTCAACTCACTTCCCTGTATACTCAAATTACCTAACCTCACCTAACCGTAAGCCTAAAGACACCCTTCAACATTCTTCTAACGACTCACTGCCATCCTATACCTACTCACTTTATCACCAATATGCAACATCCTTCCCAAACTCTACAATTCTGATCTGTTTTCTTCATCTAATCTGCTCATAACTTGGAACATTTCACAGTACCATGATGAACTAGTTTACAAATCAAATCCCCATTCAAAGTTGAAAGCCAATACTGTATTACAAGGATTCATCTCATCTCTGCCAGTGGGTTTGATTTAATGAACATAATCTATGGGTACTTCTTGCCTCAACACTTTTGGCCATAGAGGCACCAATGAGTCACTCAACACTAACCAGAATACAAACTTCAAACCATCACCAATCAAGGTCGTTTAACATCAATCCAAATGTGAACTTCAAACCAACTTATGATTTTACAAGTTTATCAATGAACCAGAAAAATGCTATTGATACTGTAAGTTTATTCATCGACGCATTTTTCTGCTCACGATTTAATCTGTTTGAAACATGAGGTTGTGAGCTGTTTTGACCTAAGTGTAAAAATAAACAAAAATTATTCCTGAAAAAATGTGGCCTCAACACGATAATACACAAAAGAATATAACAGCAGTAAATTTTGAAAGTAAAACTGATGCCTGTGTGATCTTATGAAACACATTTTAAAACCTTGCATTGGCTATGGGCATGCTGCTTGTTATAGTATAAGCTACCATCAGATACGAGACTATAAAGTACTCAGAAGTATTCATTCAAGTATTCATTCATAAACGTGTATATATACTGTATATATATAAGTATATATATATAGGGTCATCCAAAGCATGGTAATTAGCATAAATCTAAGCACAGTTAGTGCAGATGTTAGTTATGACATTTACAGATATTAATGGAAGTGAAATACTTAGGTCCTGACTACCACAATATTACCAGCATTAGCAAATTCCGCCATTCTAGCTTCAAACCAGCCGAGGATGCCATTAGCTGTACTGCCATTCACATCTTCATCCTTTATTACTGTAAGTCAAGTAATACAGTGTTGAGAAAGAGCTAGAAAAAGATTTAAAGACAAGTACAGTAGTGAAAAAAGAGAACACCTTTATTGAACATCTACAGTACTGTATCTGTAGTACTGTACTCCACTGTACTGTACTTAGGCTGGAGAACGATGTTTACTCCAAGCTCCTGAGAGTTATTTACTACAGCATAAACACCATTTGATCTAAAGTACCTCTACAACCATCTGTTAATAACAAGAAGAACTACTGGAGCAAACTAAATGAGCACACACAATTATGCCAATCTTGTTTTTGTGATATAACAAATACCTGAAAAATATTTTTTTTTAAATTAAAATCTACTCACACAGTAAATTCTACCCAATCTGCCGATGTTCACCTTCAATATGTGACACACTGAATTATGGTACAAAATAAATACAATTCACTCAACATCACACCTGGAACAATCTAACAACACTCTGTACAATAGTCTTATTATCATAACATTATTACAGTATGTAAAGAAAGGTATTCAAGCTTGAAGTATAAACGGTACTGCATAAATATACTTCACGTGTTGTTAATAGTCAGTAAACAACAACAATTCAGCTTTAGAAATCATTGTTTACAACACCACCGGTAAATCACCTAACCCCAGCACGGATCATATGTTTAATATCTTTTTTACCACCATGATTCAGTACAACAATAAACAATAGAAAATAATATGAGCAAGGCCAATTTGCAATGGAAGATTAATTTATCATTGTAAACGCCTCACACCACCCTTGTAAACCCCCCTTGTACCTCACACCACCCTTGTAAACCCCCCTTGTACCTCACACCACCCTTGTAAACCCCCCTTGTACCTCACACCACCCTTGTAAACCCCCCTTGTACCTCACACCACCCTTGTAAACCCCCCCTGTACCGCACACGACCCCTGTAAACTCCCCTGTACCACATACTTGTAACCCCCTATTGCCATGGCTCAACAACCACAAGTGTCAAACTCCCTCTTTGTGACTTCAGTAATACTTAACATTCTTCTATCTGTTTTTTGTGATGTATTTTGTGATTCCTATTACCAAAAATATTAATGATAGTTATTTTTATATATACCTGTATAACAAAGTAGAATGATAAAGGAACTACGAAATAAATCATTGCTTGGGCACACACACTCCCTCCCTCCCTCCCACACACACACACTCACACACACACACACACACACACACACACACACACACACACACACACACACACACACACACACACACACACACACACACACTCCCTCACACACACACACACTCACACACACACACACACACACACACACACACAGTCTCACTCTCCCCTTTCTCTCCTATCTATCTGTTTCTCCCTCCCTCTAGAGATAAACATGGCCTCTCAGCTGATCCACACAGGGAAGGGCAGGGGTCTTTGGTGCTTCTCCTGGCACAGAATGGATTGGTGGATGTGCGTTGTCTGCCACAGTATCCATGGATTCTATACTTTTTATTTTATTTTAATATCACCCACATTTGTTTAATATCTCAAGTACAAATAAAAATTCATATTGGTATGTGAGTGAAATTTAAGATAATATTTTGGAAGCCAGAGTATAACTTTTTAGTAACCCCTCATTCATTACAGGTACCATTGATTTACAGTGGGTGGGTGGGTGGGTGGGTGTGTGTGTATGGGGTGTGTAGGGGGGGTGGTGTGGAGGGGAAGAAAGAATAAAGTTAAATAGAAAAAAATCCCTAATAAAATAATAAAGTTTAATTATGGCTTTTGTAATCTTAAAGATGGGGATGTTGACCAGCCATTCCTTTCACCCTGGGAGCAACACCTCACCGTCCTCACACAGTCGACCAGTGTGTGTGGGAAGTGGCACACACCACCTCGGCTGCAGGCCACAAGACTACACCAATCTCACAGTATCGTTTATAACCCGCAATAAGGCATCGAAAAACAAAAAACAAAATATCTTTTCTGTTAAGCTGAGATGATATGAAATATTTGATGGGTTAACAAAATACTTTAGTCTTTTGTTTCATGTAGTACTGTTATGTTTTGGGAGGTTGTAAATAATAGTGAAATTCTGTTGGAAAAAGTGATGACTACAGTGAAACCTCCAGATAAAGGACTTCTCTATAAATATAATCAGTTAGATGGAGGTTTCACATCTAACAGAACCTCGATATAGCAGACTTTCTTCTCTATATAATTCATTACATGGAGGTTTCATATCTAACGGAACCCTCGGTATAGCGGGACTCTCCATTCCATATAGTAAAGTATTACCATAATGGCTGGTGTCTAATTACCCTATAGTGATGGTGTATGGTATTTCTTACCTACCATTCACTGCATGGTATAGTTTTCCACACACAGGTAGGTACCACACCCCCCATATACTGATGAAGGAATCAAACTCACCTTCAGCTCTAAGGCCAATGAATGGTGCACAGTATTCCATCCAATATGAGACTCAATCTTACCTTAGAGTACAGTGCAGGTAAACCAACTCAGGTAAATATCCAAGTTGTATTAAAATATACCACTTGATATGGTGACCTTTTCTGCTTATGTTTCACCTTACTTCTTACTGTCGATGTAGTGATTAAAAACTACTAGAACAGCTTCAAAAAGAAAATTACCACTTGTTCCACTGTCAATCACCATCTACTAAAACCTTCCTTACAGATAAGTCGAGAGGGTATGTAATTCCTGCCAGTCCCAATCATATCTCCGGTACCTTACAAATCATTGACTGTGGGCTGTGCTGTATACATGTTACCTGGGTTTTTAGTATAGTACTTTCTAACAAATTATTCTCTCTCACTTGATAATTTTTTGTCTGATGAGTTCAATACTTTTTTCTTTCTAACAACTACAAGAATAAATGTTCAAAATATGTATACAGTACTATACTTTAAACTATAGTATCAATCTATCACATCACCTGAATAACACAATTAGTCACATCACCTGAACAACACAATTAGTTACATCACCTGAACAACACAATTAGTTACATCACCTGAACAACACAATTAGTCTTTCTCTAATACCCCTAACTGCTCTACAAGGACTACAATTACTTATTATTTATCTTTCTTCCCATAAATTTACTCTTTTCTTACAATATTTTCTTCACTTTCTTCATATTCTTCCCTTTTCACCCATTTTTTGTTTTCTTGTTATTAGTCAAATCGTTATTGAGGTGTGTGTATAAATCCATTATTCCAGGTTCTATACATAACTTGTCCCAAATACAGCGCCCATAACAATACTTCAACAGATACATTATACAACACCCCAGGATAATTATCATACAATAACCTCATCATCAGTTATACAAAACCTTAACCTAAATTTTAACCCTAATATAATCTGACCCATTCTAACCCACCATAACCTAACCAAACCTAGATAGTATGAGGGTATTTTCATCATCAACTTTGTACACACACCACCTCCTGAAAATAGTGGCACTACAACTACCACTACTTGGGTCAAAATGTAGTGGCACTATCGCTACAACTACCCATTTGAAAAATTAATGCAATACTGCTACTGTCACTGCTACTTTTTAATAAGCATTCAATATGACAAGAGTAATTCTTTGATACAATTTTCGTTTTCATTGGCTGTTGCACTGTCAATCAGATGACTTGCTTCCACCTGTTGTCCACTTGTCCTAAGGCTGAGGATCACTCTGTCCCATGATGGTTAATGGAGTGAACATAATAGGGAGACACACCAGCAGCCACACATTAGTACATCACAAGAGTCACTGCTGACCATCTACTGACGGCCCAGCAGACACAGAACTCGGTATTATGCTCCATTTGCGTCTCAACACTAACATAATCAATATCAGCATCACCACAGTCTGTACATGTCTAGTAACAACAGCGAGGAGTGGATGGAATTCCTCTGAAAAGTAGCTCCACTATTGCATTCGCTACTTGTCTCAAAAATAGTGTCACTACATCTACTGCTACTAAAAAAACCAGCTCCACTACATAACGTCACTACTCTCATCACTGTTCATAATCAGGTGATATAAGCTGGGGTGGCACACATGACATAGAGACAGAGGTTCATAACGATGTATGGCTGGATGAGCAACACGAGCAGCACTATGAGCCCCCGTTATGTTTCTAGCAACAGTAAAAAAAAAAATCAAAGTGTGTGCTCGGACAGTGGTTTTGTGTAACCTCAAAGGAAACCCTTCTGAGTGGGATCAATGTCCATACTGTATTATATCTTGTTAAACTTTCTACAGTATTTGTGATATTAAATTTATTTTTAAATAATGTACTTTAAGTTTGATTAGCCACTCCAGTCACTTCTTCAAAGACTTACATATTCTTTGTTTGGTTATAATTCTGATGCTTTATTCTTCTTCAAATTTCACCTCAAGTTGGCTTGGAAATACAGTACAATACTACAGACAAATACATGTAGTCTATAATAAACCCTCACAGTCATGGTCTTCATCATGGAGGAATTAGTTTGGACACTGAGGCCACGAGACAACAACGTATTAAAAAATTATATACTATCCACTTTTGCTTGTGGTTTTGTGACATTACTAACTTCTTTATCTCATGGAATGAAGAAAAACACTTTACAACAACATTATGAAGGACAAAGTGAAGCTGAGGATTCAAAACTCAGCAGAAAACTGAAGCTTCCACATCAAGGAAGTATAAAAAACAATGTGAAGCTGAGGTTTCACAACTCAGCAGAAAACTGAAGCTTCCACATCAAGGAAGTATAAAAACAATGTGAAGCTGAGGTTTCAAAACTCAGCATAAAAGTGAAGCTTCCACCTCTATGAATCACACACAATTGGGTAAAAACACTGAGTTGTTAAATGCAGCCTCAAAGAGGCACCACCAGAGTGTTCCTAATATGATGTGGAAATGGTGAGTGTTGCTGAATGACTGGCAGAGCACTTAACCTTTTAATCAATTTGTATCATTATCTTCTCTTTAAATATTGTAGAGAATAGAGCACTGGCATTATACTTGAGAGAGGCAAGAGATTTACATGCTTGCTTGCTTAAGTTCTTCAGGGAACACGCTCTCCAGTTTGGAATAGTAATTTTTTTAGATACACTTGTTCATATTTCTCTGACATTGTGTGGGTTTATTATATACAGTAGTTTTTTTTTTACTCTTGCATTTATGGAAGGGACTGTTATAATATTTTCCTAACCAAACACTTGAGTAATGTAATATAATACAGGGTACAGTATAAGGGGTATATTAAAACAGAAGACCTGCACCAGTAAGACATCTTTTGATTTGCTTCAGCTGAGAATTGGCACAGATGTGAAATTCCCAGAACAGTTCTTCTTTATTCTTGTTAATAATAATACAATATTTACACCCAAGTTATTGTATAAAATAATAATAATGATGATACTTTACCACATCATAAATATCCCAGGTGTAAAAACTTCTAAAACAAAGGAAAAATATTGAAAATTTCCTTTAAAGGTTCATCAGGTGGACACATACCCAGCTTAATTCAGTAAGATGTATTTTTATTACATCTTATGAAAAATACAATGAATAAATTTTCATTATAAACAAACAATTTGGCCTCAATACAATAATCAAACGTGTCATTACTTCCCGAGCCACACCAAACAATAACTTCCCAGCGGGCACCTGACATTGTTTTAACACTGAAGTGACACTGAAACAATGTCATAATGCCAACACAACTTCAATTCAAGAGTGAGGCAACATTGCATTTAATATTAAGTCCTTATAAGTAGATAGTAATAAAACATAACACGGTACAGCACTTACCACCGTATTCAGAGTTGGAAAGATTGTGACCCACAGCATTTTGCACCCCTGCTCCTGCCACTGACGCAGGAGGGTGGTATGGTGGGGGCGGATGACTCCTGGGATGAACCACTGGAGACGGAGAGGAAAACATCGGAGGCGGAGGGATGGGTCCAATCTCTGATACAGGTATTGGAGGTTCCGGAAGATGAGCAACGTGGTGGTGACCCATATAGTGAGGGTCATTAGGGTTATATTCGTCGGCAGAACCTTGTCCCCCACCGTAGTACGTGTGGGTGTCTCGCTGGTGTACCGGGTGTAGGCCACCGGGTATTTCAGTTGGCAGCACTTGAACGCCACCCATGCCGCCATCAGAAACTGAAATGTAATTGTAGTGTGAGAAAATAAAGATTACAATAAAAATTAAAATCACATTAATGCCTTGAAGTGCTCCAAATGTAGGTAAAGTCACAACGATATGGATCTAGCCGGAATAACACACACACAGGCACTAGATAGATTTATGAGTGTGATTTATGGGTCTACTCGAGGGACAGGAGTGGTTTGAACTGAAACACATCTAAGCACGAGACTTGATCTTTGTACGGTAGTTAAAAAATCTTTAGTGGTGATTTCTACAACAATAGGTGGATGTGAACACTGACATTCCCAAAACTATTATCACAATAGTGTCATAAAATTGTGTCACAAAAAGTTACATGTAAACCAACATGTTTGGTGAAAAAAATGTGAATAGGCAAAGGAAGAGGATAAGCTGCAGACTGGTGGAGGAGCGAGGTGCAGGTCCCCATGCTGGGTGGTCATGCTGGCTTGTTGTCATGCTGGCGGCAGTCATGCTCATGTTGCTCGTGTTTCTGGGGTCAAGGACTCACCAGACAGGGAGGTCCGCGAGGTGGGCCGCACGGCCGCTGCACTGCCGCCTGCGCTGCTCGCCGCATACACAGAGGGGAAAGAGTACGTGGTGGTGGTGTTGGTGGGGAGGTAAGCTGAGGGGAAGACACTGGCACCACCAGAGTGTGTGGGAGCGACATGACCCGATGAAGTGGTCAGCTGACTAGCCTGCACAAACGGGGTGGGAGCGTAGGTCACGGTCAGCCCCCCGCAAGTCTGAGGTTGGGACTGGGTCGAAGAGTATGACTGGGGCGAAGGAAGTCCAGGAGGAGGATGAGGGCTGGGGGGAGCATAGGGCGATGGCTGTTGTACTGGGGTGGAGGTGGCGGGATGAAGGGCCGGTCGCAAGAAACAACCTGCGAGGTTGCAGTGCGAGGAAGGCGACTGAAGGGTACGAGTAGTAGTAGTGACCGAGGGAGGAGCAACCACAGAACTGTGCGAGGGGGGCTGCTGTGAACTGGGGGAGGTGATGGGTCGGGATTGTTGAGGGAGGGGAGCATTGGAGGGCTGGTACTGGTCCCCTGGCACAGAGCTGGAGGGCACACACAGGAGCCAGCGGGCATGGCGGCCCCCACACATGGTGGTAGTGGTGGTGGTGGTGGCAGCACAGGTGGTGTTAGTAGCGGTCACAAAGACGGCGTCAGTCGAGTCAGGGGAGGCAGGACCATGTTGGCCCCGTATCTGCCACTTACCACCCGGTGCCATGAGTGATGTTGGCCGCTCCGGCCGCTCCGACGAGATGATGTGGTGATGACCGTGATAGTCCGGCGGCTGTGACTCAGGTGGGGAGAGGGGCTGGCTAGTGAGGGGGGGAACTGTGGTAGTGGTAGTGGGTGCACCAGAGGCTAAGGGGCTGAAGGCTGGGTGGTGTTCAGGGGACCCATCACCACTACCAACATTACCATTCACACCCTCACTCTTCTCCTTCCCAGGCTCTGAAAAACATAACCAAAGTATAACACATTACCCTACTCAAGAGTGACCACCACATTACACTACTGTACTTCCATTCTCTCGGATATACTACATTACATGGTATTAATACCTACAACTTCAAGGCAATAATATCCACATAAAAATATACATATCACAATAAATATTTCATATAATATACATAACACAAACAATACATCAAAATAAATAGATCTGGCAGTTTTTACGACGTTCCTGAGAACACTTAGCAACCTGGTGATACATATGAAGTTATCATCATGTAACCTTCAATGACTAATGTGTTATAAATTACTTAACACTTAAAATGACAATCATGCAGTGAAAAAGGGAACAGCATAAAGGTTTCTTACAGTCCAGGTACTTGTACAGCAAAGACTACAAGGAGGGAGAGGGGAAGGAGGGGGCAATGTGACAGTCTACAGGTGATCAAACCCATAGTAGGGCACATTACCACACCCAACTGTGTCTTAATATCAAGGTACTAGTAAAGGGGATTAAGGACAGTGAAATGCTCAGGTAAAGGGGTTAAAGACAGTGAAATGCTCAGGTAACAGGGATTAAAGACAGTGAAATGCTCAGGTAAATGGGGTTAAGGACAGGTAAGTGCTCAGGTAAAGTGGACATGGAGTGACTGCCAGCTTACTCGCACACAGGTGTTTAAGCAAAGCCGGGAGAGCGAAACAACCCGGCATAGTGAGAGTCTTCCACGACCAGCGCTGTGTTGATGGCTCAGCTGGCAGGTGCTCCGGCCCACCTTCAGCAGGGGTCACACTGTACCATAACACCATTCTCTCCCCTCCACAAGGTCTCCTCTTTAAGCTTCTCAGTATCGAAGTCGCATTCTGACAGTCTCATTAGCGGTACACTTTAACCTAGGAGTATAAGCGACCATCGTGTATATTTTCCATAAACATTGTAATACTTATTCAATTTTTCCCCAAGATCACTATTAGTTTTCTCATTATGTCGACTTCAGTGTTTCAGTACGTCACGTATCTTGTGCACTCGGAGAAGTAGTGTCATCTAGTTAGTTCCATTATCGACTTTAAACATTTTCAAATCACTTTGATCCTTTACAAAACGTAAAACTCAATATTGCTGAAATCAAAGTTATTTTCATTGAAGATTTAAACATAAATATGAATACGAATCAACATTAAATACAGTAATTTCGAATATACTATAGTATCAGTCCCGATGCTGTTATGTAAACCTATTGTAGAACCCAAGACTTCATTACCCATGCTTAATAACCCTGGTAGTTGAAGCACCTAAAACTACGACCTAATAAATGGTGCTTAATAACCCTGGTAGTTGAAGCACCTAAAACTACGACCTAATGAATGGTGCTTAATAACCCTGGTAGTTGAAGCACCTAAAACTACGACCTAATGAATGGTGCTTAATAACCCTGGTAGTTGAAGCACCTAAAACTAGGACCTAATGAATGGTGCTTAATAACCCTGGTAGTTGAAGCACCTAAAACTAGGACCTAATGAATGGTGCTTAACAACCCTGGTAGTTGAAGCACCTAAAACTAATGAATGCCACAGTTTGGTAAGATTTGATTTGATTAGGGTAGGGTAGGGTAGGGTAGGGTAGGGTAGGGTAGGGTAGTAGGGTAGGGTAGGGTTGGGTTGGGTAGGGTTGGGTTGGGTAGTAGGAGTAGGGTAGGGTATGTTAGGGTAGGGTATGTTAGGGTAGGGTAGGGTAGGGTATGTTAGGGTAGGGTAGGGTATGTTAGGGTAGGGTAGGGTATGTTAGGGTGGGGTAGGGTAGGGTAAGATTTTATTTGATTAAGCTTACGTTAGGTTACGTTATGTTAGCATTTGGTTGTTTAATCTTGGGGGTAAATATATTAGATAATTTGTTCTGGTGAAATAAAATAGGTTGTTATTTTTGGTGATGTTAAAACCTAACCCGAGTCTGTCGCCCCTCAATCCATTTACTTAGTGGGGCTGTGGGAGTAAGGCGGCTGTGGGAGTAATGGGGCTGTGGGAGTAAGGCGGGTGAGGCCAACCCGCCATGCATCAGTTGCTCCCGGGTCGCCATAGGGGAGGCGTCTGGCTCGGGTTGACGAGAGACAAATGACTCCCAGTAGAATTGACCGATATACCGAGGCCAAACTATTAACCAAGACACACATTTTGGTCGGATAACTGTAATTTCCCACAGTGTGTTCTCGCGCGGGGTGTGTAGACTACTTGGCCAAGCAGGTGGTAGATAAAACCACAAAATCGTTTTCTTTGCGCAGGAAACAGAGCACACACACACAAATAAAAACTAAGGTGAACACACACACACACAGAGCTGGGGGGGGATCTCCGTACCTACCTACCTACAGGGCAGGTGTTGAGTGGAAATGCCATTCACTCCCACACACACCTGTCCTTACCCACACCTCACACCTGTCCTTACCCACACCTCACACCTGTCCTTACCCGCACCTCACACCTGCTCCTTCCCCCCCAAAGACACACACACACATTCAAAGAAAGAGAGAGAAAAAAACTAACTACAGTAATATAAAATAAAACCACTAATAAAAACTACAAAAAAAAAGAAACTCCGTAAACCAAATGAATGAGGAAAACAAAACAATCTCACAAGGCCACCAACACTACCCGGAAACACGAGTTAATTTTATACACCAGCATAAATTTGGAGAGATTTAGATTTTGTCGTATTTGTTTGGTGGTGTTTATACTAATACACATTTTCTCAGGCTTCATACTGGACATCACTGGACATCACTTCAAAGGTCTCTTATAGAATTGACTAAAAGCCTCTATTCCGTTTCAGCTGTTTGAATGTCTGTAGTAAAATATGGCTTAAAGAAATACAATATATTGATTAACGATGGTATTTATTTGTTAAAAACTATAAGTAATTTAATCAAAAGCTTAAATATTCCTTTTGATAGAATTGAATCCTACTTTGCCACCACAATACATAATCATCTATTGCCCTGACATTCCCTACCTGGAGTTGCCACCGAGTCCCCCCCCCTCCCCCTATCTCCGGAGATTTACCCACCCTTTTCCTCGAATCGATTCCCAGAGTTCACTTCACTCGTGTTCGGAGGATCGGAACCTTTCACTAGAGAGAATTTAAGATACCTTGGTTGTACCGCCTCCCTTCCCACCCCATCTCTGACGTACCATAAACCTGAGTGTCGCATTCAACTGAGAGCTTTATACTTTAAGATTGTGAAAGCAACTGAGACTATCCCTGTTTGTGGTTTGGGTGGGCGACAGTGGTATCCCTTACGGAGTTTAACCTTGTACCTTGTAGAATTTTAGGACGCGCCTAGTATGTTCCTACACTTGTACTTTGTGGTGATACGAGGTGGCTAGTATGTCCCCCACACTAGAGAGAGCCGCTTTAAATCTACGTGTAAAATAGTACCCATGTACCTCAATAGCACCCAAGTAACTCAATAGCACTCTAATAGCATCCAAGTAGCTCCATAGCACACAGGGACCTCAATAGCACCCAATAGCACACAGGTACCTCACCACAGGAGCTTGCCTTGTTTAAACGTTAATCCGCCAAGTGTAACTACGACAGATCAATAATTTAGTGTGTATATCCGCGACACACACACACACACACACAGAGAGATTGCATGTCTGTATGTGTGTGAGAGAGAGCAAGGGAGAGAGATTAGTACGCAGAGGGAAGAAGGGGGAGAGGGAGAGAGGGAGATTATGTGCGTGGATGGAGGTGATGGTGATACGTGTGTGTGTGCGTGTGTGTGTGCGTGCGTGTGTGTGTGCGTGCGTGTGTGTGTGCGTGCGTGCGTGTGTGTATGTATGTGTGTGTGTGTGTGTGTGTGTGTGCGTGTGTGTGTGTGTGTGTGTGTGCGTGCGTGTGTGTGTGTGTGTGTGTGTGTGTGTGTGTGTGTGTGTGTGTGTGTGTGTGTGTGTGTGTGAGAGGGAGGTGACTCACATACAAATGACTGTGTCTAACCCTAAATGCCCTCGTTCCAGCTTCCCCGAACCACAGCTACCACGAACCTACGGCGCCAACTGACGCAGTCGCTGAAGGCTGTCTTGTCGTGGCGTTGATAGAGATCGTATATCGAAACTGTCATGTCTCCCTCGCTTTACGATTACATTTTTTATAATATTCTGGAGAAAATTGATTTTATTCTTGTGTATAAATGAGATACATAGCCTACATACAGTACATTCATACATAAAGAGAGAGAGAGAGAGATATTTCTCAATTTATGTTACTTGTGGGATGGAAATTGTCCTGTTTACCTCAATAGCTGACCGCCTACACACACACACACGCTTCCCTCCCTCTCTTAAATTCTTCCCTTCCTGTGTCAAGATCCCCTTCCTTCCTCCTCCTCCTCCTTCTTCCTCCTCCTCCTTCTTCTTCCTCCTCCTCCTCCCAGGAAGGCGCCACCATGCGGGCTCTGAGTCATCGCCATTCTCCGCATCTACACTAAATGGCTCCTTGTTAACTGGCCTCCTCCTCCTCCTCCTCCTCCTCCTTTCGTTCTTCCTCCACCTCTTCTTCTTCCCCTCCTCCTCCTCCTCTTCCTTCTTCTCCTCTTCTTTCCTCCTCCTCATTCCACCTACTCTTCTTCTTCTTCTTCTTTCTTCTTCTTCTTTTTCCTCCTCCTCCCCCTCCTCCTCCTCCTCCTCCTCCTCAACATACCACCTTTACCACCACAACCATTCCTTTTAATAACCACAACTACCACCATTACTACCATTACCTCCCCTCAATGAACACTATACTATCACCACAACCATCACTACTACCACTACCACCACCACCACCACGATCCCTTACCATCAAAAACTACCATCCCCTACCACAACAACCAGCACTACCAACCCTACTACCACAACTACTACCCCGTCACCACCACCACTACCACAACAACAACCACTATCAGCTTCTCTCCCTTTCTCAGTCTACAAGTATATTGATAGTTGTTCTGACTTTAGACTTGTATTAC